TTTTTTAAGGTAGAAAAGAAATTCACAGAGTTTGCTAGAGACTGCTCCTCCATTAGTAGAGCAGACTGGTGATTTGAAGTTTAAGTAGAAGAGGGAGAGCTAACATGAGTCTGTTTCCCTGGGTGGAGGCAGCCTGATGATTTGCCTTTTTTCTTGGTTCAGCATCTCATTTCCTCCCTTAATCACTTTGAGCTCACTGTCATTCTAGGAAAATGGATCATTTAAGGGAAATGTAGTGGGTTGGACATGAAGTCTCCCATAGGCTCAGATATTTAATGCTTGGTCCACAGTTAGGAGATGCAGCCTTGCCGGAGGAAGGGGTGGGGTTTTGAGATTATAACGCCTCACCTCCTGCCTCAGTCTCTCTCTGCTTCCTGCTTGAGTTTGACATGGTGAGCTCTCATATTCCTGCTCCTGCTGCCTTGCCTGTCCACCATGATAGACTCTTAATCCTCTGGAACAGTAAGTTCAAATAAAGTGTTCTCTATAGGTTTCCTTGGTCATGGTACTTTATTACAGCAACAAAAAACGCTTATAGGGACGTAAGAGGAAGCTGGAGGCATTGATTCAATTCACTTAGCCTTATCCTTGGGTGGATAAGTCATCTGTAATAAACTATGAGCTTAAAGGTCTTGGATGCTTAACAGTTATTTTAAAAAATCTTATTCCTAACTTAGAATGGTGAAATACTGGAAAGCTACTTAAACTTTCTAAATGCCTTCCCCCATCCTATGAGATTACATAGTACATTTTCTAATCAGTTTGTTTGAGCAGTAAATAAGATAAATGAAGGAAATGCCTGCCACATAAATAGCGTTGCTGAATGTATTTGCTTTGTTAAATGCACAGTATCTTGACTTTTGTCATCATTAATAGTGAGAAAATATATTTGATGGAGCTGGAGAGATGGTTGTTAAGAACACTTTTTCTTACAGAGGCCCTGGGTTCAGTGTCCAGCATCCATGTTGTGACTGACATCTCTAGCTCTAGCTCTAGGGGATCCAACACCCTCTCCTGACTTCTGAAAACAGCAGAGGTCATGTATGTATGTGGTGTGCATACATACATGAAGGCAAAATACTCCACACATAAAAACAAATAAATCTACAACAACTATTTGAAATAAAAAGGAAAAACACACTAGATGCTAGATGTGACACTTTTTTCTTTTGCACCCCTTTAAGAAGGGAGGGGGACATGCTCTTACATCAGAAATCATTTCTCCTCTTCCTCCCAAGACTGCTAGTGGTGCTTGCTACCCGCATGGGTTGTCTTAAGGATGAGGCAAGAATGGACTGCTTTTTTTCATATCTGGCAAATGCTAGCTACTTTTATATTTTCTGGCCTTCTTCTCTGGTGCTATGTGGATTTTCAGTTATTTAAGTTTCCTGTATCTTTTATAATGCTTTATTTAGGTAACTTTTTTTTTTTACGAGACAGGGTTTCTCTGTTTTGGAGGCTGTCGGTCAAGCCTGGCCTCGAACTCACAGAGATCCGCCTGCCTCTGCCTCCCGAGTGCTGGGATTAAAGGCATGCGCCACCAACGCCCGGCTTTTAGGTAACTTTTTTATTATTTGTGCGCACACGTGTGTGTGTGTGTGTGTGTGTGTGTGTGTGTGAGCATGTATGTGTTTTCCTATGGAAACCAGGGCAACAAAATCCCTGAAGTTGTAGAGTTGTAGCTTCACACGGGCTGTGAGCTGCCTGGTGTGGGTGCTGGGAACCAAACTCAGGTCTCGTAGAAGAGCAGCAAGCATCCTTAATGTTGAGCCATCTCTCCATCTCTACTTTAAAATTTCTAATTTATCTTTTTTCTTTCTGAATAGGTTCCAAGTAACTATAGGAAAATGTCTAGTGGTAGGCACATGGATGCATATATCCCTAGTACCAATATTTTTGTTTTACAGGTAGCAAGTGATGAAGAGTCGTTTTATCTGTCTCACAAAAAAGATGGAATGTCCTTAAAATACTTATTACACTATAAGATATTATGAGTAGAATTGAACTCTGATGAAATTTGTAAGGCAAGCCTGAATTTCAGGTAGCTGAGCCTTCCTTTCCTCGAATACAAAATGTATGCTTTAAAAGTAAGCCACACACGGAGTAAAATAAACCAGGGATCAGAAAGAAAGACTGATAATGAGAATAAAACAATGCTCGAGAGCTTGCAAAGTACAATAGTTATGAGCATAGATGGGTTATAAACTGAGCCAACATCTGGCAAGGTAGTCATGTGCTCTGCTAAGTCCCAGCACACAAAAACATGGGAAACCAGCTAAACGAAGTAAACATAAGGAAGTATCATGCAAATATGTAATTGACTAGTGGCATTGTTTAAAACCACAGCAGCCACGAGAAAAGAATAGCTCGTCCCATTTTAGTTGTGAAAGTGATTTAAAAAATATGTAAGAAGCAAATATTTCTTCTCTCCCACCTACTTTGCAGCAAGCACTTCCTAAATGTTGGAATTTATATAGTGTGATCTTTCTGGGTACTGCTTCTGACATTTCTTACTGTGGATCTGTGTCTGTACCCAAATTGGGAGTGTTACTGAACAAGTGTGTGTGTGTGTGTGTGTGTGTGTGTGTGTGTGTGTGTGTGTGATTGTATGTACCTTCATATCCACTCAAGATGTGCAGAGACCCGATGTTGATAGGGTGGCTCATCCTGCCACAGGTGGACTTTGAATATTATTTTTCACAGTGTCTCTCACTGGCCTGAGGGTCACTAGCTGATTCATCTAGGCTTGGGGGACTGTAGTGAGGGGTAAGGGATAGGGGTGGGGGAGCTCAGAGTTCCTCGTATCTCTGCTCCCTCAGCACTGGGTTTAACAACCCTACCACCACACCTGACTTTTTAAACATGAGTCTGGAAGGTATAACTCAGGTTTTCATGTTCGCACAGCAACTTCATCAACAACCATCCCCCTATCCTTCCTTCTGTTTTCTTCTTTTCTTTCTTTCCTTACAAAAAGAGAACCTGTCCCCTTTTCCCTTTCTTCTAACAAATGTGAAACATTTCTCAGTGTGTGGGGGAGGGGATATGTTCAGCTGATTTCACTTTGATTCTGTGAAAATTGGGTTCCACAGAGATGCACCATTTCCTCTAAGACTTCTAAGGGGGCTATTACCATGGGCCTGCTGTTCTGCTTTGTATTAGAGGAGACACTATCTTCTAAGTAAAACATGGAAGAGGAAGTGTCCAGAATTGTAAATAAGAAAGAGAAGCCTTGTTTGGAGACCATGATGGAGAAAACCCACCTTGTCCAAGTCAGGATCCATCTTTGCTCCCTTTACCCAAATCTGACACAGACACTCCTGGAACATTTTCTGAGGTTTGTTTTAGTTTGTTTGGTTTACTCTCCAGAAAGAGAATTTTCTACGTTGTTCACAAATAAATACCTCTCAGATAAAAGCCTGCCTACACAGTGGAACACCTTTAAGAAGAAGGAGCCAGAACCTCAGAATGCTCTCACTGGAAAGTGAAAACAGTGAAGGCTCCAAACAGCCTTCATATTCCATTTATGAGAAGAAAATGCAGTGCACACCAATCTAAATGTGCATAGAATGTGCATGCCTCCACCAAAGCAAGATGGCCACGCTAAGCATCTCCATGTTTTTCTAGCATAATTTCACCTCATAGATTCACTGTGTTGAAACATTTTTTTTACTGTGAACGTGGGAAGAAAATAAAAAACGAAAACAAGCCAAACAACAATGAAAAACAAACAAACAAACAAAAAACCTCTGGAGCTTGACACCTGTTTCTAGCACCATTCTTCTGGCTAAAGCGCATTTGTGAAGAAGGGGTGCCTCTGTTTCTCCCCTCTTTAAAAAAGGAAAGCTTCTTGTTACATTGATTGTGCACTAATGTGCATTAATGCTACATTCATGTGGTTTGGATTAGATATAGAAGTAACAGTCTTCTCTCTTTATTCTGCTAAAGGACTGTCCTTTAAAGTGTCATTACAAAAGCATTTGGTTATTGTCAGGGGTAAAAGACCTTACAGGGTACTTGTTGTCATTTCCCAGGTGTGGAAGGAATGGAAAGAAAACTGGACATGAAGGAACCACAGTTCCTCCTTAGCCACCACTTGAAATCTCCATAGATGGAGAATGTAGGAAGTCTGTTCACCCAGGGACCGTTTGTCCCTTTGCTCCTTCAGTGATGCTCCGTTAGAGAAATGCCCCTTGCCCTTTCGCTCAAGAGTTTCTTGGTTGAAAGGTCAGCTCTGAAAAAGGTCTGGCCAAAGTCACTCTAGAGGTCATGGAACCGGGAGGACCAAACTACTCTAGCAGTCACAGAAGGGCCGGTGCTCATCACTGTGCCCGGAGCCCTGGTCACCTTCAGCTCCCTAGATCTTGCGCTGTAGGTTTTTTGGACAGAACCAGGCAGGAGTCCCTAACCGATGTCTTCTAGAGCTAGGCAGGTAGCATCAGAATTGAAGTTGCCAGATGGAGGAGAAAACAGTATGGGCATTGGCAACCTGGATAAGCGCCTCATTAAAGCTTTCAGAATTTTAAATCTATGGCTCAGCTGGCCAAAGCACTGTAAAGCAAAATTCCCAAGTTCTGGTCAACTCGCTCCAAGTTGGTGCCCTAAATACAACCGGGTCTAGTATTCATATGCTCCAACCTGCTGCGGGTTCTTGGTCCCTTGGGCAGCTCAGCGGCAGCAGCATATTGAGTTCTGCACTTGGAGGCATCTAAGAAGGGCGTAGTGGGCCTTGTGCTTCTGGTGATGCTTCTCAGGTTGTGGGGACAGTGTCTTAGAACCCGTTACTGGCTACATTTTACTTCCACTAGAAATCAAACTGCGTCCAGATTTTCTCCGGAGTGCGACTTGCCGCCAGGCACAGTTCCGGGCTAGTGGGGGAGTGGGCGTGGGAAACCGGGAAATCCAAACCTGGTATCCAGTGGGGGGCGTGGCCGGACGCGGGGAGTCCCGCCCCTCCCAGAAAAGGTCCCGCCCCCATGCCCTAGAGTTTAGCCTGCGCTCGCGGTCTGCACTGAGTCCTCGGGACCCCGAAAGAGTAGCAGTAGGCTGTTTCCTTAGATTGCGCGGGGGCGCTACCTGGCACGATAGAAAGTTCAGATTGCTTCCCGCAGCCGGGATAACCTGGCTTGCTGGTGTCCGCAGAATCCCCTGCAGTTGCGGCCGGAGTCCGGGTGCCCTTGCCCCGCGATCTCCGCGGTCCTGCGCTGCAGGGCGCGTATCGCCTCTTGGACTTCTTTGCGGGCCAGGGACCGAGAAAGAGTCTGTGCCTAAGAACTGGGCTCTGTGCCCAGCGCGAGGTGCAGGATGGAGAGCAAGGCGCTGCTAGCTGTCGCTCTGTGGCTCTGCGTGGAGACCCGGGCCGCCTCTGTGGGTAAGGAGCCCACTTTCTGAAAGTAAAGCGACGAAGTAGGGTGCGGGCGGAGAGCGGGGATGCGAGAGAAGAGGACCTAACTCGGAGAGAACTAGCGACCTACTCTTTGGTGTTCTTTCATTATCATCGGGGAAACAGGTTCAAAGACTAGTCCGAAACGACCCAACCAGTCGATGGTTCCCAGAGCTCTAATCTCCCCCGGGCTTCAGTTGGAGCCAGTTGTGCGTACCTGACACAGCTTCGGGCTCTAGGGAGGCTGGAGTGGGAAGGCGCTCCCAGCAAGGGCAGGAGATGCCCCCACAGGCAAGAACAGGCAGTAAAACGCCTGGAAGCAAGCGCAAGCCGGGCGCCCTGCGTGGCATCCTGCCCTCCGTGCTACCTCCGCGGAGTGCAGCAGGGAACCCGCCCTCTGCACTGCTTCCCTTTAGTTCCCTCTAGGTGAGGTGAGAGGTGAGAGGTGAGGTCTCTTCCTAGGGCAACTTTGCTCCTCCAACTTTCTTTGGTGGAGAATGCCACTTCCTCTCAGGAAGAAAAGGTGCCCCCCCCCCTTCTGTGACAGCTACTCCAGGTGTCTTAAAGTAACTATCCACCTAATACTCCAAAACGTTTGGCCCTGGGGTAATCTCACATAAAACCGAGTTTCAGAAATCTCTCAGGTTTGGCACTTAGTTATAGAGCCACTTTTCATGTCGCTTATAATTACTCTCTTCTTCGTTCGGCTTTTGGTGCAACAGCTTCTCTTCTCTTCTCTTCTCTTCTCTTCTCTTCTCTTCTCTTCTCTTCTCTTCTCTTCTCTCTCTTCTCTCCTCTCCTCTCCCCTTCCCTTCCTTTCTCTTCCCTCTTGTCCCCTCCTCTATTTCTCTTCCATTTCCTTTTTGTAGCCAGTTTGCAGATTTCCCAATCTCTACCGTTGGAGAATGGAGGAAGAGTCAGACAAAAAAGTCAATCCTGTAAAAATATTCCTTTTATCAGAAGAGAACTGCATGCCTTAAAAACACTGGCACTGTCATACAGTACTAAGATCATCTGTCTACAGTTATTAAGTTTTCTTCATAATGACTCTGTTCACCAGACCAGCTCCATCATGGTTGTTCATTTGTCCCAGACAAATGCCCACTCCCCCTCTTCTGGGAAGAGAAAGATAGTCTGGAACATGTGCTTGCGCTGTGTCCCACAAAGAAGTGAGTTGCTTTGAAGCCTGGGGTGTTCCTAGAGCAGCAGTTTAACAGTAGCCTGGTTCCCTGAATAAAATGGAGGTTGCCCTTTTGGAGTGTGTGACTTGCTTAATTGGATTGGACTATAATTGGTGCCATCGAAGTCTAGAGACAGAAGCGCTGTTGTTTTTCCTTCTTGTCTTCGAGCAGGAAGGATAACAGTGCACAAATTAATTAGTGTTGGTTATGGGATTTGAACATAAAAGGCTTTTATTGTGTAGTAGCATATGTACCTCTTACAGTCAGAATGAGCTTTCTAAGGGAGAGGACCCAAACTTGCCAATGAAAATGAATGAAGTTTAATGGGTGCGGGGAGTGTTAGTCATGGATGTAACTCTTCAGTTATTATTGATAACCTTGTTGACTAGGTTTGATTGTGGAGCATCCCTAGAATAGCGTGGTGTTATATATGGCTTCTTGCGAATGGGACGTCTCTTAAAGATGAATGTAGCTAATGTGCCTGCAGTTTAAGATAATCTCTGGCTGTACTTTAGTACAAAGACAGTCAAGAGGCTCTCAGTGGCCTTGGCATGTAGATCAGAGGTGGAGCACGGAGGGCCTGGGTTCGCGTCCAAGCACTGAAGAATAGAAGTCATTTGCTGTGGAGGTGGAGTGCACACAACTTAATGAATGGCTAGTTATTTACTACTACATTTTCCTTTACACATCTGCCCAACCAATGGCTTCTTTTTCATTTGGCTCATCACATGAGTCGTATCCAGTTATTGTTTTTGGGCTAATGTTTCTCAGTTACGTTTAAAATCTATTTATCAAACAAATTGTTTGTATTTTTCACTTCTCAAACCAAGTAGCATTCCATCATTGGAAGACATGTTTATGAACATTTTAATTGCTTGCCCATGTTAAGGGCAATGACTTCTTTCATACTGAAAAGTGTTACAATGATTGATTGAACATGCCTACCTAGTTCTGTAGCTGTCTCAGGCTGCCCCACAGAGCACCTGTGACATAGTCACTCTAAATACCACTAAAATGTATATTTGCAGACCTAGGAATAACCAAACACCACATAAAGTTCAGAACCACTGCCCAAACACAGTCACTTGGTGATGTCAACTAGCTTCTGAGGCTTATTCATGTCATTTCATTTCCAATGATTGAAAAGATGTCATCAGTCAGTAAATCTATAGTTATATCAGCCACATGTGCTCATCTGATTAGGGTGGGTTATTTGGGGTGGTGCAGCTGAAGGTTGCTCTTCTCATCTGCGTAGGTTGTGTGAGAACCCGTGCTGTTAGCTAGCCACCTGACTCCAGTTGTTCACACAGGGGCCACAGTGTCAAAGCACTGGCTATTTGCCCTGGCTGTTTGCTCATACTCTCTTCATTCACATAGCCCCGTATTTGTTCACGTTCACTTATTTGCCCAACAAGGTCAATGCCAGCCGAGGCCCTACGAGTCATCTGTTCTTAGCTTGTGTGAATTAGAAAGTCTGGGTAGCTGCCTGGTATTAGTTATTTTTTTTTCTTTTGAGACAGTCTCACTATGTGACCCAGGCTAGCCTCAAACTTACAGTTCTCTTGTTTGGTTCATTTGTGTGCTGGGCTTCCTGGTGTGCACCACCAGGCTAGGCAGGTCAGTTGCTTTTCACCCTGAGAGCTGGAAGATTTTGATGTCCCTTAGCATGGCGGGCAACTCCTCTTTTTCTCACACTTTTAACATGCCTGGTAACACTTTACATTTGGGTGACTGACACCTAGTCAGTTATCTTGCTGTGATGTGACCTATAGAGACGTGTATCTCTCTTGATGTTTTTCTGCATTTTAATTCTTTAGGTAACATGCATCTTGTGTCTGGAGCTTTGTGTCAAGATGAGCTCGGAGCTTTGATTAATTAATTAATCAGTTGAGACCCCCCCTTTGTAGCTGATTTTAAGTTTTGCTCAGAGAAAAAGTATATTAATATGCATGTATGCATGAACTTGAGAGATGATTCTCTTCCTCAATTCCTTTTCCTTCATTTAAACATGCCGTCTTTAGGAGCCACTACCTCAGCTCAGTTACCAAAGGAAATCTGCTATACAGCATGATAAAAGACAATGGGACAAAGGTAACAGTGCCTCCTGCCCCTTTAGGGGGTATGGAGATGAGCTGTATAGCTGTCTGTCCGGGGAGTTTTCATTAATCAGCAATTTAGTCAGATGTGTGCATCCTATGCTTTCCCAAGGGCCTGAGATCATCAGATGGTGGCTCACCGGGTTTCAATGTCCCATATCCTTTTGTAAGACCTTGAAGTTGGCAGTGCAGGAAAACAGGAACTCCACCCTAGCGCTCTGAATTGCAGAACTGTTGTGTTGGTTTGTGACCATCTGCCCATTCTTCCTGTTATGACAGAGCTTGTGAACTTTTACTGGGAATGGGGCAAAGCAGATTCCACTTTTATATGATGAATTGCTGAAGAGGCCTTTAAAAACTTGGAGTGTGCATTGTTGATGGTGTTTCCTATTGGGCCCGACTCTTATCTAATTTGTTTCTAGGTTTGCCGGATGATTCCCTCCATCCACCCAAGCTCAGCACACAAAAAGACGTACTTACAATTTTGGTAAATACAACCCTTCAGATTACTTGCAGGTAAGGGTTCATTGTAGATGCAGATTTCCTGTGTGAAAGGACTCATTGTTAACTGAGGTCACAACAATTTCCATTACTGCAGAATTATAATAGTATTGTTGTAATTGTTTATAAGTCATGAGGCTTCTAAGAACTCATGCAATAGCGAAACAATGAGAAGGGACTCTTCAAACTTTTGTACTGTTTTGCTGGGCCTTTTCAACACGTACAAGCATTTTATACAAATGCAAACTCACACATGCATACACACAAGCATGCACGCCAAAAACTGACATGTGATAGACATTCATGACTATTGATGAATCAGGTAAAGTTAAGGGCTTATCCTTGTGAAATAGAGTTGAAGTCTGAGCCATGTTCATGTCAGTCTGAATGACTTTTGAACAGCATCTTAGCCTTTTATAAGAACTGTATTCTACAAATGAAATTCTGTCTGTAGTAGAAATTTAATCTCTATCCAACAATATTCCTGACCATATGTCCTTCTCAAAACATGAACTTCATATTCTGGCTTGATATCCAGGACCTCTTTCCCTCTTGCCAGCAAGAAGCCATGCTGCCGATGCTGGATAGTCAGGGAAACAGAACTTGGACAAGAGAAGGCCTTTGAATTTTGCTTTTCAACCAAGAGGCAAGAAAGGAAACCTAGAGGAGGTATAGGTGGATATGATGCTCATTCATGAATGTCCCAGAGGTCTCTGCAGACCAGTGTGGTTTTGGTAGAAATGGTGATAGATCCAGGCAATGATGCCATCTAAGAGTGCTTGATGCCACAAATAGTCCTGGCAGCTTGTGGCCGTTGCGTCCTATTTGAAGAATACCAAGTGGTCCACAGCATAACTCAGGTCTGTTTTAGATTGTTGCATGTGGAGAGACACTAGGGCCTCTTATCTAAGGTCTGCAAAGTCACCAATACCCAGCCTTTGGGGGAAACGAAAACAGAAAGCCATAGCAGGAGCTGTTTATCTTTGATAAGTCACGGCATTTCCAAAGACTTTCCCCTCTACCTAGTCTCAGACACAAAGGCCACTTAAGATCTGCAAAGGTCCTCTTCCCTTTAAAAGAATCTTGAGAAACATTTCTTGTGTTCTGAGCGAACCCTGGAGTGAACAGGCACAGTCAATACTGTGATGTCGTTCATGGGAGTTTCAAGCTTTTTGAATGAAGGCTCAGTGGGCCTCATTTTTTAATTCATATTGACTACCTTCCACTTGCCTTGTGGAGATGAGGCAGTAAAAGTATTGTCTATTTAACTTTTCCCTGACGAGGATGTACCATGAGCCTCTTCTCTCGGTGCCCTCTCTTCTTCCTCCCCCACACCTACGAGATGATGCTGGCTTCCCTGCTGTTTCCCCACCACTCCAGATGTGCACTGAGCTCTGTCCCTCACATTTACCTTTTCTGCTTGAAATGCTGTCCCTCGTCATGTGCATAGGGCCAGCTTGGCCACGTTCCTCCCTGTTTGTTGCTTCTTATAATCAACACATTTTATACAATGACTCGTACGTCCTAGTTTTCTCTCCCCCAGTTAGAGTGAACTTCCATAAAGACACTGATCTATTTCTTCTTGGTATACACTGGGCAAGTGCTCTAGCACTGAGCATCATATCTTTGGTCCCTCAAAGCACTGGTTTTTGTCCTTAATTATGCTCATTAGCTATATATACTTAAAAAACATTTACTGAAAGAATGAATGTGTGAACTAGCAGAAAACACATGACCCTGTGGGTGATTTCTGAAATAGAGTGTGTGATCTTTGGTGGCATGTCCATGCAGACTGTCTATCATCAGTGTCTGTCAGCCTTTAAGTGCCTGTTGAGCATTTTATATGCATGTGAGAATCAAACCTTCAGTTCGTTCTCTTAGTCAGGGCCTTATGCCACGGGGTGTCACATTAATACCTTCCTGAAATACTTTTTTCAGGGGACAGAGGGACCTGGATTGGCGTTGGCCCAATAATCATCGTGGTTCTGAGGAAAGGGTGTCAGTGACTGAGTGCAGTGACAGTGTCTTCTGCAAGACACTCACCATTCCAAAGGTGGTGGCAAATGATACTGGAGCCTACAAGTGCTTCTATCGGGATGTTGACATGGCCTCCATCACTTATGTCCATGTTCAAGGTAAGCAGTGGGCAAGAATGTACTTCTCACATCCACTTATTAGGTCTAAAACACAACAGGCACAAGAAAAGTTGAATCCAACAGGCGTCTTAATGGAAAGGCTGTTTGACAAAAAGAATATAAAAACTTCTCTCTCAGGCTTCCTTTGAGAAGGGACTCACTGACAGTCTGGGCTTTGGTCTGAGCTGCATTTGTCTTTAGTTAGGTCAGTCCTGGTCCCTTCTCTATGGTGCTCTGAGATTCTCTGTGACCCACCATGGGCTGTAGGGACACATAAAATACCTCCTCATGTTCGAGATCCTAAGATCTTAGAAATGGAGGGAGATTGGAGGTGAATTATAGAGAAGTTTCTGTGGTGAGATAGGTTATCTGTAGCAGGGAGGAGGTTTTTGCAGGAATGCATAGCAAAATAGCCAAGGACTTTGGAGGTTGTGTTTTTCCCCCTCCCCCATAAGATCTTTCCTTTCCAGATTCACACTTTATTAAAAAAACCCACATACCCATGTGCAAAGCACAACACCACCTCCAAAGAACCCTTGGAAGACTGCTTTTCTTGTCTTTGCTCGTGTGCTCTGGGAGGGCTTGAAGTTTGCAATCGACTCCAGGAAGATGCAGCCTAGGGACATGAAAAGTTGCTTGATAGTTAGATCGAGGAATTTATTTTGAGGAGATGGGTAGCTGTGTGAGCTTCCTTTGTATACTTCACCTTGAAGGCTAATGGTTTAGGACTGACTTACAAAACACCTTTCATTTTGCATCAAAGCATTAGCTTAGCTTTTGTCTCACATCAAAGGGTTACTTTAGCTCTGTAAGCAAGGTGTGTAACTTAGCATCTTTGTAATAAAGAGTACCATGCAACATGTATTTGATATTTAGAGCATGAATTATGATCTCTTTTATATTTTAAAAACGGCACACCACCTTTTCTTGTGAAAAACCCGTCTTCACTTATGAGACGCCTGTAATATCATGCACTTCTCAGGAATGTAAAGGTTGCATTATATAGAGAGATTTATTTGTTTTTATTTTTGTGAATGAGAGTTTTGCATGTATGTATGTGTACTGTGTACTCAAAAGAGGGCATTAGACCCCCATGGGAACTGGAGTTACATATGGCTCTGAGCCACCTTGGGATGATGGGAATTGAGTGTAAATGCTCTGCAGGAGCAGCCAGTGCTCCCAACTGCTGGACCATCTCTCCAAGTCTGGGTTGCATTATATTTGACATGGGCATACTGTGCTGCATTTCTTTCTGAGAAGGATGGATTTTTTTCTGGAAGTCACTATTAACAGACAGAAAGGCTCTTTATCAGGACAGCACCCTTACAGATGTGACCTTCTATTTCAGTAGGGATAGTCTATGGAAGGCTGTCAAAATGACACGCGGTACTCTGGGGCTGCTCAGTAGTTTGGGCATTCTTTTCGCCCAGGGTAAGCAAAGTCTAAGATGGAGGTCTGTGCCCTCCTCCTCACTCTGCAGAGCCGAGGGAAGCAGACCTTGGGGAATGTCTGGCTCCTTTTGATCTGGCAGTCTTGGGAGATGTGGCTCTCTCAGAAGATTGCAAGGATTTCCTGCTCTCAGCCTGTCTGGAAATGCTACAAGATGAGCCTCTCCCACAATATCTCGTTACTTCCTTCTCCCTGAGTCAGGAAACCTGGAGACATGTAAAAAGTCGTTTCTTGAGTTACAATAAATATTTTATTTTGAGAGGATGTGTGGTTGTTTAATGCTCCTTTGTTTATTTCCTCTTTAGGGATACTGAGATAGAACCGATTTACCAAATAATTTTAGTCTTAAGTCAAGAGGTTAATTTAGCTTCTCCAGGCTCTGAATGAAGCAAGTTGTGTAATAATAGTCCATTAACATGTGCGTGGAGGTAGGCAATAGCAACAAGCGGTGGTCTCTAGCACTGTTTGCCGGTATACTTGGTGCCTTTGGATACATCATGAAATTCTGCTCCTGCCTCAGTTTAGCATTCTAAGCTGAATTATCCATGAGTTTGGTCATGAAGTTGAATAACAGGAAAGAAAGCTTTGAATGCATTATTCCCTATGGGTAGGTCCTTAATGTCCCCCTCTGGTCCCCACCTCACTTCCTCTGTCCTCTGACCCATCTAGCAGTGGATGGAGCCAGGAAGCTGGCCTTGGCCTCATAAGATAATGGCTATGGCATGTGGGGGGCGAAGCTAGCTGCATTTCTATGCTTTCCAGCTGGGGAGGAAATCAGATTTTTGCTGTTGAATGGAATTAGCTACTCTTCTTCCCTTTGGCTTCATTAACTCTTTCTTCACCTCTGGAAAGTCTTGGTCAGATTTGTGTGGGGTGGGTGGGGGGTAGGTGCTGGGATGTTATCTCTGAGATTTCAAGTGGTGACTCCAGACCATGTCCTCTGTCTCTGGGGAATGGAGTAAATCCCCAGTCATGTATTAATGCTGTGTGAATACTCTCTGAAGGATATCAAAATGACTCTGTCTTTTGGCTCAATCTTTTTGGCATTATGGCTTTCCAAATATTCATTGTCAGAGATATATTAATAAGTCTTAAATCTTGAACTGGATGTAGTGGCTATTAAACATCATTGCATAAAGAGTCTTATCTTCAGTGCTCACAGTCTTAAGGTATTATAGAAATCTTTCTCTTGAATTACTGAATCATCTAATTGTTTGCTCTTAGTTTAAAGATTTCAGTTTCTTTTCAGGGCATTTATATTATTTGCCTACTGAAGGAAATGAATATTTAGCATCGTAAAACTCAACGTTTCAGTGTATGGAATCAAATTTAAAATGTTTATTTCATAAAATAATAATATTTTATTAAAGTGTAGAATCTAAAATAGATTCTACTTGTTAATGTTCCATGTGGAGAAATTAAGCTCATTTTTGGAGTTTTCATTCAGATTCTCTCTCTCTTTCTGTCTCTCTGTGTGTGTGTGTGTGTGTGTGTGTGTGTGTGTTTGTCTCTCTCTCTCTGTCTCTGTGTGTTTGAGTGAGAGTGTGTGAGTGTGTGTGAGTGAGAGAGAGAGTGTGTGTGTGTATGTGTGTGTGTGTGTGTGCTTCTCTCCCTTCCTTGTCCATACCTTTGGAGCCATTATCTACATGCAGATTAACCTATGGGCATCTTTGCTCATGAAAGTTGTCAATGACAATCATTCACTCATTCAGTTAGGGTTCATGGACCTAAGAATACCAACTGTCCTGCTAATAGCTCACTGGGAGACTTCACTTTTCTTCCAGATTATAGGTCACCATTCATCGCCTCTGTGAGTGATCAGCATGACATTGTGTACATCACCGAGAATAAGAACAAAACTGTGGTGATTCCGTGCCGAGGGTCAATTTCAAGCCTCAACGTGTCACTCTGTGCAGTGAGTTGCCTCTTTTCTAGTCACTTCCTAAGTTTCCAGGGCTGTAAGCCTCTTTGCAGATGCACTTCCTGCTTCCAATAGCATGTCAGTAGTGAACTGTATAGGTCCTTAGGGAGAGCCAGCAGCACAATAAATAAAACCAACCTATGTTCTTAAAGTAAGATGTAGCCTTCAGGGGTCATCAAGTTCCAACAGCACCATGTTAAATAGTCACTGTTTCTTGTTGCTATCTAGAGATATCCAGAAAAGAGGTTTGTTCCGGATGGAAACAGAATCTCCTGGGACAGTGAGAAAGGCTTTACTATCCCCAGTTACATGATCAGCTATGCCGGCATGGTCTTCTGCGAGGCAAAGATCAATGATGAAACCTACCAGTCTATCATGTACATAGTTGTGGTTGTAGGTAAGTGGCTGTTTTCTTTCTGTGCCATTAATACCATCTAATGAAGAGTGGCTTTCTAGATGAAGATCCTGGAGAGGAAGGTGTAGGGTGAAGGTCAAGGGGTGTGGAAAAAGATATTAGCTCAGGATATGGGGCTGGTCAATTCCTTATAGATGCTCTTCTCTATCAGACAAACCATTGCAATGGGGGTGGGGGCAAGACCAAGAATAAAAAAGTGTCACCACAAGAGCTCATGTTATGAAAAATGCAATATTCAGATCACCGCTTGGCACCAGTTCTTTTAATTGTATCTTATGGAAAGTTCAGCAATTTACTCAAGTGGCCCCGTTAGCCTAGGTCTTATTATTCACCAGGTTACAATATTTTTGAAAACGCTGAAGATAGTGATTTATAAATCACCATAAACCCTTTTCCCTAAAAGCCATCAAGAAGCAGTGAGTCCTCCCCAAAAGAAGCGACGTCACACACTTCGCACCACTTTAAAAGATGTGCTCCAAGTTCTGGATGTCTTTTCCATCTTACTTTCTGTTTTTATCATTTACTTGCTCCAGGATATAGGATTTATGATGTGACCCTGAGCCCCCCTCATAGAGTCGAGCTATCTGCGGGAGAGAAGCTTGTCTTAAACTGTACAGCAAGAACTGAGCTCAACGTGGGACTTGATATCAACTGGCAGTTCCCTTCTTCAAAGGTAACACAAACAGCTCAGAGCCAGGCCTCCAAATTCTTTGATAATAAGCCCTAATGAGGTTTGCTTAAGAGATATAGGGTTCCCTCTGGTCAGATAAATTATAAAGGCTTTAAAACATCTCTCTCTCTCTCTCTCTCTCTCTCTCTCTCTCTCTCTCACACACACACACACACACACACACACCAGTGCACCCACACTGTATTATAGGAGTATGGCAGAATATATAGGAACCATGAAAAGATACCTTGCTAGAAAACTCAACCCACCCTGCTGCAGTTGATCTGTGCATATTCGTCTCCACTAGATTATTAATCTTTTGACATTGCATTATTTCTCTGTTCTCTGAAGCCCTTGATCTGTTTTTCCCTTTAAGAGGTGATCTGAGTTACATTTCTCTTTAAACAATTGTATTTGTATCTACACTCCACACATCTCATTCTCATTAGCTAAAGTCTTCAAAGTTCCTCCTCAGTTCCAAGTATTTCAATGTCTACTCAATTATCCTGAATCCCAATGTATATGTTGTCGGTGTGGTGTTTAAAGTCTCAGTTATTAGTATTAGTTCTCATCAAGGGACAGGACTTGATTCTGTGGGTCTCTAGGAGCTATTGGATGGTTAGTGTTCAGCTGGGCTGTGAACATTCACTACAATCTTTTTGTTTCTCAGCATCAGCATAAGAAGATTATAAACCGGGACCTGAAACCCCTTCCTGGAACCGTGACAAAGAAATTTTTGAGCACCTTGATAATCGACAGTGTGACACGGAATGACCAAGGACTATACATCTGCACAGCGTTTAGTGGGCGAATGACCAAGAGAAACAGCACATATGTCCAAATTCATAGTAAGCGACCATTTTCTTGCTAATATACTGTGCCTGGGAGAGTGAGATGACTTACATCAATTTAGGTTACCTTGTTTATTGCAAGATACTTTTAAGTTCTTGTTAATGAGGACACAAGACCTAGAGGTCAACAGCTTAACTTTGGAGTCAGGGACTTGTGTTCAAAACCTCAACTTTGAAATGACACATGGTAAGTGCTCACTAGGCATTATTTGTTAGAGCAGTTTCTGGGATTATAATTACTATTAGAAGTAGAGTTCTAGTATGTGTGATGGTATGCTGTTAAAGATTTCAGTAAGGGAGGCTAAGGGCTTATTTAAAGAAGCAAGCGCCCCTCAAATTGGGGAAACCCAGATTCAGTTGCTTTTTCTGTGGCTTTAGGTAAATCACCCAAATTCTCAATTATGCCCTCTTTTACAAAGCTGTCTCAGTTTAGATAATTTATTTTTGCTACAGCTCTAGCTTATACTTTTACAGGGTTACTTCGCAGCTTACGTGGAATAGTTTGTTTTGTGATGTCAGGATCTTGCGCATGTTAGGCAAGTGATCTACCACTGTGTTACTTTAAGGAAGTAAAGGCAGAAGAGGGAAGAACTGTTAGGGGCTGATTGTTCAAATCCAGGTGAGAGACGGCAAGAGGACTTGGACAGGGGTATCTGTGGAGGAAGTAGAAGACATGAGGACCTGGATCTATTTTGAAGGCATAGTCAACTAGACTTGCTGGCCGATGTGTTGACTGTGGTAACGGCTTTAGCATAAAGAGATGGCCTGAGCTTTAACACAAGTAGTGGAACTGGTGATACTAAGTGAAGGGGGCCAGGTGGGATGGGATTTGGAGAACAGCATTGAGTGAGTTCCTTTGGAGATGCCCATTAAACATCCAGATGTTTGATACGTAAACTTGGAACTCAGAGAAGTCAGGGCAGGGGTCGAAAGTTTTTGTATATGACAGATGCTTTAAATCTGAGATTGGATAGAAGAGGAGGCAGAGAAAGAGAGAGGTCTGAGGAGGGAGTGTTGTGACAGCCAACAGCTGGAGTATAGTAGCGGGCGTTATGGGAGAAGAGGGTAAGGTGTGCCTGCTGGTCCGTGGGGGACTTAGAGAAGGCTGTGTGGAAGGATGGAAGTATAAGGCTCGTGGGAGAGAGCATAGTGAGGAGAGGACTCTGACAAAGGCAAGAGGGGAGCTGGAATGTGGCTGCTATAAACAGTGTGGAGACCCTCAGAATGGCAGTTTATACCTGTACCCCACCATCTAACTTTTCACTTGACTAAAAATCCAAACCAAAAGGGCATTTTCAGTAAACTGGCATTCATGAGAACCATTGCTTTTGTTTTCTTCTAGCAAAACCTTTTATTGCTTTTGATAGCAGTATGGAATCTTTGGTGGAAGCAAGGGTGGGCAGCCCAGTCCGAATCCCTGTCAAGCACCTGAGTTACCCGGCTCCTGATATCAAATGGTAACTACTGAAAAGCAAAGCAAAGCATTGGTCTGCGTGAGATAAAATCCTCCCGTTGTACTGATTCCTGGGACTGACTTCCTCAGGTACAGAAATGGAAGACCCATTGAGTCCAATTACACAATGATAGTGGGCGATGAACTCATAATCATGGAAGTGAGTGAACGAGATGCAGGAAACTACACAATCGTCCTCACCAATCCCATTTCAATGGAGAAACAGAGCCATGTGGTTTCCCTGGTCGTGAATGGTGAGTTCATTCAATGCCTCCTCTGCCTAAAATTTACTAGGAAGAGAGAGAATGAATCTTCCTACATTCCCTAGGCATCCTTCTTCTGTTTCCTGTTGCATCACCCACATCATTAATTGGGCCAATGCTTAAAAAATGAAAAATGACCCAGGAAGGTGAATCTGAAATGAGATGTAGTATGATGGGATATTCTGGGCATGCTTCCTTGACAAGTCATATAAATGTGCTGTTGGCGGTCACATGCAAGGTGGCCTTTGGGGTCACTCTAAGGTTTGTGAGCTCACATTGCTCCTGTCCACAGAACTACACATCGAGTGAAGATTTGGTAGACTCTCCTTGTGTTATGTGTGGCATTTTAGTCTGAAGCTTTATCTTCTTCACTCCAGACACATGGCAGAACTCCACACAGGAACCCTGTGGAGACTAACGCCATTGGCTGACTTGCTGTCCACTCAGGGGACATATCCTGAGTCTGTCCAGGAAAGATTCTAAGTTTTTGACTTAAGGAGGATTTAAACTTACATTCCCAAAGTGAACGTTATAGTTATTTGGGGTGGGGGCAGGAAGGTGTTATGATTAAGTGAGTGTAGAAGTACCACCATTACTGCCAACTTGTTTTTTTTTTTCCTTATAGGACTTCTTAGAATCTTCACTATGCTAACGAATATTGCTCTTCAATGAGAGAGACAGGGATTTAACTAACTTATTTGACTAGAGCACTTTTCCTCCCTCAGTGACTGCATTAATATTTTGCTCCAAACGCAGTTGGAGAAATGCTTCTAGTGTAATTCTTCATGCTCCCTACTGGCACCACACATTAAAACGTCAAGATCTTGTCTCACAACAGCAATGTGCTTCCCACATGTCTTGATCCTCCTCTGTGTGTCTGCTGAGCATGGCTTCATTTCCTTTTTCTTTAGGGAGTGTTTTAAAGATAACCGCTTTTGGGATGGTTGCTTAGAAGCAGCATGGGCAAAGGGGATTCAAGAGAGGGGAGGAAGACAAGGGTGATACACACAGTTAGAAGAAAATGACTGGACCACAAAGGGTGATACACACAGTTAGAAGAAAATGACTGGACCACAAAGGGTGATACACACAGTTAGAAGAAAATGACTGGACCACAAAGACAGAGAGACAGTGAGCATCCCCATCACTCTGCTTCATGTAGTCACCACATACAGTGAACCTTAACGTTTCCCTCACCGTGTGCAATAAACAAAAATGTGAAGTCTGGCTTCTGTTCAGAAGCTGGAATGTCTACCTTTGTCCTGGATTTTGCCACATATTAACTGATGGCCTTGGACAAGTCTTTTAATGTTTGCCTTGTTTCTCCTCATGTGTAGAGTGAGGGCCATAGCCACAGTTATGAGGACTGAAACTCATTGGGAAGAACCTCAACAAGACCGAGTGCACAAGAAATACATTTGCTGTGTTGGCTCAATGATTGTCTCTCTGTAGCTTCCCACTCTATTTCTTGCGAGGCTGGAGGACATGAACAAGAACATTTTTAATGTAGAGTGAGTGAGTGAGGCATGGGCGTGTGGAGTTAGCTTAAAGTCACTCAGCTTACTGGTTTTCAGTTTTATGATAGCATGAGAATCCAGGTTCCAAGTCTAGCTGTTCCTTTGGGAAAGCAAGCAGAGGTGAAACCATCTGAGTACGAAGGGCAGATCTGGTGACTGAAATCCTCTCCTTGTTCCTCATAGCAATCAAACAATTCACAGACTGTCTTTTCTGTGTCCAGTCCCACCCCAGATCGGTGAGAAAGCCTTGATTTCTCCCATGGATTTCTACCAGTATGGTACCATGCAGACATTGACATGCACAGTCTATGCTAACCCTCCCCTGCACCACATCCGCTGGTACTGGCAGCTAGAAGAAGCATGCTCCTACAAGCCCAGGTGAGCAGAGCTGTGCGTTCTGATTTGCTTCCCATCTTGTATTCCTTCTTGCCAATTGACAATGCCATGATTCCATCTAAACCTACAAGGCTATCTCTAAAGATGTTACCCTTTGAATGGTACTTGAACTCTCCTTTTTTCCTCTGTGGCTTGAGTTTTAACAGACGCCCTAGGTTGGGGCATCCCACTGTGAGAGTCAGCGTTCTTCTTAGTTAGCCCTGATGTCCACCTCTCCAAATGAGCACTGTTTGCTTAGTTTGCTAATTGCCAGTCTTTGAATCTCCTCCTATCTGTGAGCTGGAGAGTACCACATTGCTCCTCTTTATCTATGGGAAGGTTCATCTCTCAGAGGAAGTGCTGATGGATGGGAGGCAGTGATAAACCTAGCCCAGGCCTCAAGAGCCTTAGGTCCAGCTTATCAAGTTCGACCACAAGCGCAGACATCCTTAGGGAAAACAACAGCCACCACCTTCAACCTACCATCCCAAGCATCCCATTTCCTGTTGTTGTTTTTGAAATAGCAAACACTGGTTTCTCCCTCAGCTGCTGGTCATTTCCTAAACAAAAGCCACAGTCCCAGAGAGATGACTTTGAGAAGCCCAGTAGCTTTCAATGTTTCCTTACCTTCCTTTGAACTGAATTAACTTGAATTGTCTTGTCGATCCAATTTATGAATGGAGATGTGTTCCCAGAATAGCTGCTTCCCTCCTGTATCCTCAGTCAACCACCTTGGACCGTTCCACTGTTGTTGACATCTATTTTTAATTGGCGCCAAGTCCTGTGAAGTGTTAGCCTGTCTTGAAAGTTATCACTGAGAGTCTGATAGCCAAGGTCTGACCCTTTCCTGTCCTATTGATTCGAATGAAAGAGAAGTCAAATCATGACATGCTATGCTTTCTCCGTTGTACAGCCAAACAAACCCATATACTTGCAAAGAATGGAGACACGTGGAGGATTTCCAGGGGGGAAATAAGATCGAAGTCACCAAAAACCAATATGCCCTAATTGAAGGAAAAAATAAAGTGAGTCTGAAGTTCTTGATTTTGAATATCTTTCTAGTTCTCACTTATGCATAGAAGACATACAATAACATATAAAGGTATATTGGAGGTTATTAATCAAAGAGTCTGTGTGATACCATCCATAATAGCTAAGCTATAAAATCAGCCTAGGTAGATAAAGAAAGTGTGAGCTTTACACATACACACACACACGTAGGTGCCTTCATCTTTAAAGAAGAACAAATGGTTGCTATTTGCAGAAAAACGGATCATTGTGTTAAAGTAAGCCAGACTTAGAGGTGCAAATATGTTTTTCTCTCATATAAATTGATTGAAAAAGACAGATAGAGAGGGCTACTTGGGAAGAGAAGGGGGGAACAGATAGGGTAATTGGGAAAGAATATAATCTAAGTGTATTAAGTAAAAAATGTCATAATGAAGCCTGTTGTTTTGTACAATTAATACCTATTAACTTAAAAAGAGAAGAAAAAACACATAGCTTACTAACAGTTCATTGAAGAGAAGCAAATCATTCAATGCCATTCAGTGTATACACCTGTCAAAAGGGAATTCTGATTCTGAGCACATGAAAAATGAAAAGTGTGCAGAATACCCATTAAAGAAAATCCTTAAGGATTTCCAAAGCATGTCTGCATCCCAGGTACAACTGCCAAGTTAGAGCTGTTTACTTTGGAAGGTGGGCAACGTGTAGTGTGAATAGCAAAGGCAGGTTTTAGCAGGTGTGGGGGCTGATGAATTTAGTCTCAGGCTGTGTGTGTGTGTGTACGTGTGTGCATGCGTGTGTGCGTGTGCGTGTGTGTGTGTGTTTGTGTGAGTGAGTGTGTGTACTCAGCCTGCATTGTTCATGCCCTGTGACTTGTGTGTTCACAGACTGTAAGTACTCTGGTCATCCAAGCTGCCAATGTGTCAGCGTTGTACAAATGTGAAGCTGTCAACAAAGCTGGACAAGGCGAAAGAGTGATTTCCTTCCATGTGATCAGTGAGTAAACTCTCTGGAGGGTGTGTGTGGGGAGGGGGCTCTGTCCCTTAGAATGTGCATGCTAAACTGTGAGGTCCTCTGTTGTCCTTGTGGTTTGTGTGAGTAGTGTGGTGTGCAGTTAGGACTTGAAGGTAACAGAAGTTAAAACTGCTCAGGTAGTCCCTGGGCTTGCATGAGTGTTCATGCGCTGCCACTGGTCTGAGAATGCTTTTACAAGCTGTAAGCCCCCAGCTTGTGTGTGACTTGTCTTGCTCACCAGTTAGTGTGACTCATGACTCGCTGGGGTTCATGATGTTATCTGTGGATTGTTATAGAGCAGCAATGAGGCTGAGGCTTTTGGAGGGAGAGGAATGGCATGAGCACACGTACTGTGCCTTCCAAAGCTCCTGATTTTGTCTATGCAGCCTGGTTTGGTGTGTAAACTTGAGCTGACTGTACTGGCTCAAATATTTCATCCTGAGATAATTACTTGAGTTAAATGTAGTTTTACTGTCATGCATTAACAAGAAGGCATTGTTAAAGTGTCTACATGATGATTATAAATGCTTTGCTTTGGGTTTTTATTTTTTCAATTTGAAAACCATGTCCAGAACTCAAAGTGGAGTGCAGTAAATACTTGGGAAAAATTAATTCACATTTCCAAATGTTGAATTTTGGGGAATGAATTGTTTTGCTTGGCTTTGTCCTTGTAGTAATGTCTGGGGATGGCAAGACCTGTCTCTAAGTTCTTCACAGTAACAAGAAAACAGTGGTGTCATGCACCAACTCAAGTCACCATCCTCTAACTATGGCTTTGCATTTCAGGGGGTCCGGAAATTGCTGTGCAACCCACTACCCAGCCAACCGAGCAGGAGAGTGTGTCTCTCTTGTGCATTGCTGATAGAAATATATTTGAGAATCTCACTTGGTACAAGCTTGGCTCACAGGCAACATCAGTCCACATGGGTGAACCACTCACGCCAGTGTGCAAGAATTTGGATGCTCTTTGGAAACTGAATGCCACCTTGTTTTCAAATAGCACAAGTGACGTCTTGATTGCAGCATTCCAGAATGCATCCCTGCAGGACCAAGGAGACTATGTCTGCTCTGCTCAAGACAGGAAGACCAAGAAAAGACATTGCCTAGTCAAACAGCTCGTCATCCTAGGTATGGAGGCATTTCTGGGTGATGAGTTGCAATGCTTTGAAAGCAGTGTGTTGGGATGCTGTGCCAATAGTACAGGACTCTGGTAGCTTTCGTAGTAGGCTAGTTCATCCCTAGAAGCAGAATAAAGCTAATAGTGCTGAGGCGATGCATTAAAATTAGAAGACAGCTCCGCTCTTCGTAACCTTTATGATGGATGAAGTCACTGCAAGGGATTAGCTTGATCCAGGAAGTTCCTCTGGCATCTTTGGACATTCAATGATTTAAATCAGAATGTTTGTGTAATGCTGTGAGCAAAGAGTGCCAGAAACTCATAATGTGGACCTAGAAGGATGGACAGGATGAGATGACAAGCAAACGCATTGTGAGGCCTCCAATTTATCAGGACTTGCTTACTGAAACTTTAGCCATAGAACACAGTGGCATATACTAGGTTGTAGCTTTAACTGTAGAACACAGTGGCATATACTAGGTGCTCAGTGTGATACCTGCTTCACAAACAGTGTGATGAAGGGGTGAGTTTAAGATCTAGAAGATTCTATGGAAAGCGTGCTACACTCGTTGCCTGTACTTATGTGGTATCCCACGTGGTCTAGGGTAGCTGAAGTTCAGTAACATAAATCTTTGATTAGAAAGCCTTTTGCATTCCCTATGGGGATGTACTCTATGTTTTGTCTAACTTTGTACTTTACACAGAACCTGAACAATCTCGTTCAGTCTCTGAGGAGATCAGGTGAACTTAGGGGCTTCCCTTTCTTCCCTTTCCTTTCATTTCCTCCTTTCGTTGCTGTGCACTTCAAGGTTCTTCTCCCTTTTATAGTGCAAAGCAGAGAAACTTAATGTACCTACATCAAAATTTTATACCAACATCATTTTGTTGAGTGCTTTGGCTTATTTCTGAAGGTCCCTCCAAATAGACACCAGTGTAATACTTTATGTTATGAAGACTTGGGGACATAAGGAAAGCTGTTTTTGAGTCAAGTCATTCCCAAGACCCTGGAAATCACACCGATGGCGCATAGGACCAGTTACATTATGTGACATTAGTGACTGGTCCAGCTGTGGAAGACTTTAGAAAGAAATGTGAAGGAGGCTCTTGGCTTAACCATGACCAGGAAGTGCAGGATTACAGTCAGTAGGTGTGCTGCTATAAGAATACTTGTTCTGTTTACCAAAGCCTATTCTTAGAAACAGATCAGAGCCCAGGACATTTGTTTAAACTCTGATGTAATGCACTCTAGAAGATGATCACATTTTGCTAAGTGTTGAAGTAGATTCTTTCAATGTAATTCTTTTTGATGCTCCTTTGATTTGGATAAGATCTTTCCACAGCAGTCGGATGACTTACAGGAGGAGGGCAAAGCTCCTGTCTTGCTGTGCATGTAAACAAATGCCCATGGGTCCTTGACTTTTCATACGATATTGTTGTTTGTTGTTTGGGTTTTAGTGGAAAATACACTGGATTTTCAGGCTCACAAAATTCTATTATTAACAGAACTGTTTACTTAGTTACAGGGCTTTGGGTGAGATACCTAGATCCCCGAACTGCAATCACTTCACCTAAAAATAGGGCTAATGGACTGGCTTTCATCATATATGACTGATAGTAAATATTAGAAATGATGCAAAGTCATCCAATAAATATAAGTCACTCCTTAGGTACTTGTGCTGAAGTTTTGCCCTTCCCAAGTGAAAACATGTGCTCTTAGTGGCTACAACCTTGCTGAGGAGTTTCCCTTGGGGAAATCCTTGTGTGATTGTAGGGGGGAAGAAACATATAATATGAAAATACTCCCCAAAGATTCCTGAATTGTGATTTGCATGTGGGGTGGTTATTTTGAACATTTAAAGGCTGTCATGGCCTGTCAGAACTGCACTTCTTTATTATATTTCACTCCTCCAGCAATGGTCGCTATCTGGGCAGTTTCAGCTCGCTTCATCAACGGGCCACTGCTTCTTAAGTTTAGGCTGTTCAATAGGCACAGGACACTAATGGTGTTCTCATAGTTGGAAGCATGGGCTCTATGGATTCCTTTTAATGTTCATAGAGCGTATGGCACCCATGATCACGGGCAACCTAGAGAATCAGACGACAACGATTGGCGAAACCATTGAAGTTGCTTGCCCAGCATCTGGAAACCCTACTCCACTCATTACGTGGTTCAAAGACAATGAGACACTCGTGGAAGATTCAGGTGAGTGAAACTTGTCTATTTCTCCAGTGGTAGAATTTTTTTCAAGGATGCTGTGTAAGACTGCTCTCATTTCTTGGTTTGTTTCAAAGTTGACAGAAAGCAGTATTTATGGGACTGGGGAGACAGCTCAGTCAGAGAAATGTTTACCACACAAGCTTGAGGACCTGCATTCACATCCCTAAAACCCATATAGGAAACTAGACTCAGCATCCTTCTGTAATACCAGTGCTAAGGGGCAGGGTGTGTGTGTGGAAGGCAGGGTGGAAAATAACTGCATCCTTGGAGCCCATTTGCCAGCCTGTCTAGCTAATCATTGAGTTCCAAATTTAGGGAGAGACCCTGTCTCAAAAAAAGAAGGTAGAAAATAATAAAGAAGATACCCAACATTGACCTCTGGCCTCTATGCACATGCCCCCCCCAACACTCACACATGTACACACAAACACACAAAATGGTATTTGGGTAAAGGGTCTATCTGGCTCATTCAGAACCAGAAACAGCATATTTGGAGCCCTGTTGATTTCATATGAGGATCCCATGGAAGACAGGAGTCAATCCCATACACCTCTTTAGAGTTGAATAATAGTCAGAGATGAAGGGCAGCAGCAAGTACTCTAAAAATTGTCTTTATCAAGCACAGATCGCATCATCAGAAACAAAACAATCAATTCCGTCCTCTTTTAGGCATCGTACTGAAAGATGGGAACCGGAACCTCACTATCCGAAGGGTGAGGAAGGAGGATGAAGGCCTCTACACTTGTCAAGCCTGCAATGTCCTTGGATGTGTAAGAGCAGAGACACTTTTCATAATAGAAGGTCAGTGGGATGTCATAGACCCAACAGATGATGTTTTGGGATTAGTCTGAGTTGTTCATTGACTCAAATACTTTGAGTAGGGTGGCATGTAGGTGACTATGCTCTTCATGGTGGTTAAGTGGCTCATATCTAAAATATTTAGGAACACGTATAGCCTAGGTTGTACAATTTTTCATATGTTTAATAGATATTTTGCGGAGGGGACCTACATACAAGCATGAAACCCATTTAGGTGTCATGTAAACGTTATACACATGGCCAGAAGGTAATTTTACATAGTATTTTCAGTGCATCTGCCATTTGACTGTGCCTTGTCACTTGACGTAAGGGACTAGCACTCACAAAATTTCTGATCTTGGTCCTCTGGGAGTTCTGAGTTGGAGATTCTCCACCTGTTCTTCACACTCTGTCTTCAATGGGTTTGTGTTCTTTTAACCAGAAAGCAAAATTGGAGGTGTGCGTCAGCCTGTACCACATTTTCTATCCACGCGGCTCTCACTGTGAGAAAGCTTTTAGCCAGGAGCAATGAATAGCCTCCTGTCCCTTGTTCTCAGTTTGTTTGAATGGCCAAGTTAACTTAAAGATATCTACTTGGGAAAAATTAGATTTGGTGGTGACATTGCTATTCAATTAGTGACAAGGGTTCAGAATTTTCACTAGAGCTGAGACAAGATTCACTCATAAACAATAGATGATTGCTTTTGTGACGTGGGAAATTGAGGGTTATTATTGAAAAATGAAAGGAAACCTCTTTCCTTCTGCCGTGTGTGTGTGTGTGTGCGTGTGTGTACACGTATGTATACACGTATGTGTGCAGGATTGATGTGAAAACTGCTTTTTTCTCAGCCAGCATCCTATGACAGAATATTTCAACTTATGAAGAGCATGCCTGAGTCCTCTTTTTTCTTTTGTAACCTACTAAGAGAACAATGCAACTGTATTGTGTGACTGAAGGAGTGATGTGCAGGGTGATGACTGAGGGAGGTTAGGGAGGTAGGTGTGGCAGACTCTAAAGTCTAGGTGTTGGTCCCTTTAATCTGTCAATCTGATGTTGTCGAATACTGCATCTAGAGCTACCATCATGTTCTCACATATGTAAGAATGTTAGGATTCCACGAACTGCAGCTGCAAGTGGAGATGCCAATGGCATGGTAGTTCCATCATCTCCAAAGACAGTCGTATCTTAGTGCTCATCCCAAGGGGGTGCACCCATCAGTTCTCTCTGGAACTCTACCTCCCTCCATTAGCCTTCTGCATTAGGTTATTACCCCACCTAAGTGGGCACAGTGGCATGGGTATTGTGGAGACTCACCTGGGAACAATAGCAAAATGTTCAGCTTTCAGATGTTACTATGAGAGTACTCATACATAAACTGATAGAGACAGTTGAACCTTTGACCTTTCTTCTGTGTCATGTGAATAGGCTTCTAAATCTTTGCACACAGATAGAAAATTCTTTCCCTGGGAACCTCAGAGAAACCAAATCCACTTACAGATGCACTCAGAGCTTGTTTCCCAACTGGTAGCTCTTGTTTCACCAACTAATTAATTGCTTGTCTTCTGGCTTCTGGCCCCCCATGCCCTCCCCCCAGCCAGCTCCCGGCTCATTTCAACTCATACTGCACAGTGTGAGTTGAGAGACAGAGACCCCAAGTGATAATTGTGTCCTAATCACCTCCCTCCTAATCATTTGGTGCTAAGAGCCTTCTGCCTGTAATTCTCCTGGAACACACTCTGGAGAGCAGTCTGCAGCTCTCTGTGGCCTGCTTAGCTTTGCCTTTCTCCTCTCCTTTCACATATCACATCAGTGCCCTTATGCCAGCGCTCTTGCTCTCTCTCTCTCTCTCTCTCCTTCTCTCTCTCTCTCTCTCCTTCTCTCTCTCTCTCTCTCTCCCTCCCTCCCTCCCTCCCTCTCTCTCTTTCTCTCTCTCTCTTTCTCTCTCTCCCTCCCTCTCTCTTTCTCCCTCCCTCTCTCTGTCTCTGTCTCTCTGTCTGTCTCTGTCTCTCTCTCCCTCCCTCTCTCTCTCCCTCCCTCCCTCCCTCTCTCTGTCTCTGTCTCTCTGTCTGTCTCTGTCTCTCTCTCTCTCCCTCCCTCCCTCCCTCCCTCTCTCTGTCTCTCTCTCTGTCTGTCTCTGTCTCTCTCTCCCTCCCTCTCTCTCTCCCTCCCTCCCTCCCTCTCTCTCCCTCCCTCTCCCCTCTTTCTCTCTCCTTTTATCCCCTTCTTCTCTCTGGTCCTTTTCACACTTCTGCCACATAGAGGCAGGGTGAAATATTGGTCAGCTCTATTTGGATGGACCTGGTATAACCCTTGAACAACCCACCAACTTCGTGTGTCTCTCAAACAAGTAGCTTAATCCTTCAAATCGTACTCCCTCAATGTGAATACCGAAAAAGCCAAGGAGGGTGACGTATTTAAAGCAACAAATTCATAGTAGGTGTGTGACCACAGCAGCTGTCTGGTAAAGGGATTCCCTTATTTACTTGTAGAGTTTTCCAAACAATCACCTTTCCCATGCCACACAAGAGAAAACATTGTCCATCAGCACAAAACCAGACTGTGTTACCCACAAATAGAAGTAACTTGTTTTTTGCTCAAAAGAGGTCTCTCGCCAAACACATCCTATATGCATCTCTTAAGCCATTTGTACACCTATAGTTCATTGAGAATCTCATTGCCGGTTGTTTTCATGTTCTTTGAGATGCTGGGGACTCTGTCCAACATAAGGAGTCTGTGGCTGCTGGACTGTAGAGGTCTTGAAAGTGGATGAGCCTGAGGTCCTGCCTCCCACGTCATAGTTTTATCACCTTCTGCAAAGGCTATGGACTTCCAGTTGCTGATCACTCAAATGTGTGTCTTCCAGGTGCCCAGGAAAAGACCAACTTGGAAGTCATTATTCTCGTGGGCACTGCGGTGATTGCCATGTTCTTCTGGCTACTTCTTGTCATCGTTCTACGGACCGTTAAGCGGGTAACAACATAATGTCTGTCCTGTCCCTTGCATGTTGGTTTTTGTGATTAATGGAACCTGACTGGGCTTCTTTCAGCTGCTTCTTCCCATTGTTATTGGCTCAATGGACACATTTTTACTTCAATACAATTGCATTCTTGTCCATTTTCTTTGGCTGAACTATGGGCATTAATTGATGGAAGCCACTAGAGGGGTAAAGGGTTTGGAATGTCCACTGTAATTAAGATTTAGAAACTTTATTCTGAACTCATTTTGGAAACTAAAGAAGCACTAAAAGTAGGGTTATAATAGGACTTCTCTCAAACTTCATGAGTCTTATTGGAAAATGAGACACCATGAATGGATCTCCTATTAAACAACAACAAGTATACAAAACAACAACCAAACAACAGGATCTGTGTGTGAGTGGAAGGGTTTGTGCTTTCTAGGCCAATGAAGGGGAACTGAAGACGGGTTACTTGTCCATTGTCATGGATCCAGACGAACTGCCTTTGGATGAGCGTTGTGAACGATTGCCTTATGATGCTAGCAAATGGGAATTCCCCAGGGACCGACTGAAACTAGGTGAGTTGTCAACTGGGATTAACTTGATTTTGGCTTTAGCAGTCCACCTGACTCTCCTTTAAGACAATGACATGTTTAGTCTATTCAGATGATGTATTCTGATTCATAAATATTAATTCTATCTCTTGACTTTGGGTATTCATCCATATAGCCTTCTAGCAGTAAGGAAGCCATACAATCATTCAAAGCAGGACATTCTGGAGGGTGAAGGGAAAAGCCAGAAGGAGAAAGTAAAGCGGGCTATGGGTCTAAATGGAATACAACATCACCTTAACCAATTAGAATCTTCACAGAGTCCTCTGATAGTGTGACATAACAATCAACTTTTGTAATTGCCATTATCATTGATTCTAGGGAAGCCTCTTGGCCGTGGTGCCTTTGGCCAAGTGATTGAGGCAGATGCCTTTGGAATTGACAAGACAGCAACTTGCAAAACAGTGGCCGTCAAAATGTTGAAAGGTAAAAATCAAAATGGCATTGTGATGTGGCTCCCTCAGTAAGCATGGTATAAGGCTTGCATCGGTGGTTCTGTGCATAGGTGGGCCAGAAGGCCCCTGACTTCTAATGCCTTTGCACAAACTGGAAACAGTTCCCTCCTTAAAGGTGTCATGCAAGGGCACATGACCAGGGAGCAAGGATCAACTTGTACAATTCTGTTTAGTCGTCCTGGTTATATGGGGGGGAAACTATCTCAATGTATTATGATGTAGCATGTAGAACATGCCAAAGAACTCCACTTAGTTTGTGAAGGTGTTTTGCAAAGTAAGAGTAGCTACGCAGACAGAAGAGGATTTTAGAATCAGCATCTTTTCCTAGTAATGGAGCTACAGTCTGGATATTCTGGTGAGGAAAGGCGATGTAGGGAAAGTTTCTGCCCCATTTGTGACTGCTTCCATGGAGGGAGCTGCTGCTGCTTGGCTAGTAATGGAGCTATAGGCTGGATATTCTGGTGAGGAAAGGCGATGTAGGGAAAGTTTCTGCCCCATTTGTGCCTGCTTCCATGGAGGGAGCTGCTGCTGCTTGGCCTTTGCCAGTAGGTCTTGTGCCTTTCAAAGCCCTCTTCCTCCATTTGCATTTTCTATCTCTAGGCTGAAGGTAGGTGTGTGTGTGTGTAAAGATGGGTCATCAGGCCCTGAGGTGAAGCCCATAGCTGTGAGTGAGAGAGAAGTATAGCTGTCCATACAGCATCAAATGCAGTCTTAGCCCCACTAAGCTCATGTGCAAGCAGCTTTGCTTGTATGCTGGTCCTGTTAACTTATTTATTTGGTGCAGATCAATTGGAATATTAGTATGGACCAGAACAAATTTGTCACATTCATTTATGTGTGTGTGTGCATGGTGGAATGTGTGTGTGTGTGTGTGTGTTTGTGTGTTTGTGGAGAGGGGGAAGGGATGGAGGAATGGAGAGAGAGAGAGAGAGAGAGAGAGAGAGAGAGAGAGATGACAACTTGCAAGAGTCAGCTCTCTCTTTCCACCATGTTGGTTCTAAGGGCCCAGGGTTCGAACTCAAGGCTGTTATGCTCAGTGGCAAGCACCTTTACCCACCCAATCAATCACCGGTCTCTAGATCTGAGAATATTTAATGTATGGGACCCTTCCCTATGAGGAGTCATTGAAGTGATTATGCCCTAAGCAGCCTATTAAGCCTGAATAGAAAATTCCAGTTTTGTATAGAGAGTCTAACTGTGATCCCACTGCAAATATATTTCCAACTTTATAAGAAACTCACCTTAGATTCCTTTAAATACCAATCATTCAGGGTTTTCTTAAAGTAAAGCCTTGCTTTCTCATTAGAAAACCGAGTTTGCATTTGACTTTTCGGAACACACTCTTTGCTCCGTTAGCTATAGCTGCTCTCTACCCGGAGAGCAAGTTGTGCGGTTAAGTGCACCCATCTTCCAGTGGCAATGGCCATAGTTAACAGTTTCTGTCTTTGTTCTGAATTGGTAGAGGGAGCCACACACAGTGAGCACCGAGCCCTCATGTCTGAACTCAAGATCCTCATCCACATTGGCCACCATCTCAATGTGGTCAACCTTCTAGGTGCCTGCACCAAGCCGGGAGGTAAGTAGCTGCTACAACTCTGCCTGCCAGTGTGACTCACAGCTCTCCCTCCATTGGCATTTGAAGGAAGCAATACTTTGAAGAACCCTAAATGCACTACAATTCATAGACATGTAGTGGACACTATAATCAAATGATCCTGCAGCATCATTTGAATTAAAGAATGGTCTCATCATGGGGAGGCGGTTTGTTAGATGGGAAAAAGGAACATCCCCCAGACCTTGAAAGGAAAGAAACTCGCCTCATCTCCTTTTCCTCCCCTCCCGTAGTCATCTGAGCTGATTGCTGATATTTGGATTATTCGTGTAGAATCATCTTTTTGAAAAAGAAAAATTATAATAGGAAGGATTGGTGTCAGATAATGTCTGCCACCCTGTTCAAGGAAAATGTTATATGTAGCCTTCTTCTAGGGCTGTTTTGGGCTTATCAGTATGCTAAACACATAGTGAGAATTGTTCGTGAAATGCATTTTCCTTTCTTAACTCACTGTGTTATTTGCAGGGCCTCTCATGGTGATTGTGGAATTCTGCAAGTTTGGAAACCTATCAACTTACTTACGGGGCAAGAGAAATGAATTTGTTCCCTATAAGGTATGCCGTTGTTGTCTACCTGAGCGTGGTCATACAGAAAGCAGAGCAAAATGTAAATTGACTCACATGTGTCTTTTAGTTGCAATTCTTTGCACGTTTCCCTGGTTGTCTTAATGTCCGCTTTTATCTTCTGGGGGTTGTATGCTTCTCACACTTTATTTTTAGGACTTTAATCTCCTGACTCATTATGATGGTGCTAGATTTGATTATGGAAAGAGTAGGGCAGAGGGAGCATTGTCTCTAGATAGTCTGTCACCTCAGTCATATTTGGCTCCGTGAGGGTATGTCCCTCTGTAAAGAGGACACTAATGGAAGTGTGTCCAAGTAGTCCTGGAGACAAAACCCTTAGCACTTGACACTGAAGACAAGGAGCTTGGTGTTAAAGAAGGAACGCTGTTAAAACTCACACCACATTTCAACTCAGAGACTTTAATCCTAGAGTTGTCTTTCTTGTTTGCTTTTAATAATCTCGACTGTTTGTGACCTTGCAATGCATTAGAGACCCATTCTGTATTCGAGGAATTTACACATTCCTTTCTTTTCCAGAGCAAAGGGGCACGGTTCCGCCAGGGGAAAGACTACGTTGGAGAGCTCTCTGTGGATTTGAAACGCCGCTTGGACAGCATCACCAGCAGTCAGAGCTCTGCCAGCTCTGGATTTGTTGAGGAGAAATCCCTCAGTGATGTAGAGGAAGAAGAAGGTACCTGCCTTGCTGCCTGTGCCTAATGCACACCCTCCTGTAGAAAGAGACGATGACAAGATACTCGGCCATGGGGGGAAGTTTCATGTATGAAAGAAATCTAAATTCCTAGGTAGAATCCGGTCAAACTTAACTAAAGTATGAAATCCCTAAGTAGACAGTGAACTCCCTTGGGAGGCAAAGCAGGGTTATCCTGAGACGTCTAGGTAACTCAGTGCGCTAAACTGTCACTAGCAATCAACTCAACACTCTGGTTCAATACTGGATCAGAATTTATTGGCAGTTGAGGTTGAGTGCTATGTTCAGAAAGGGGAAGGGAGCTTTTTGATGTTTGGCTAGCCTTCATTGCCATAAGTGGTTCAGACCCGGTAGGCAGTGAGATTCAGGAGCACGCAGAGGGCCCCTCAGTTATCTCTACCTGACCTTCTCCAAAATGGGTTAGGACATACCTGCTGTTTTCACTCCACTCCCACTGGCTTCTCACATTCCCCTTTTAGCCATGCTTGATGGTCTTGATGATATTTTAGTGGTACGTTTGGGTGGAGCTGGATCTAAGCCTCACCTCCAATGCTTCAATCAGCTCCAGGACACACTATATGTCTGCTTCAATCAGAAGGAGCGGACACAGCTGTGTGGTCAAAGTGATGGGGATGCCTGAGGCCTGGTGCTCTTGGGAGTGTGAGTTTAGACAAACCCAACCCCACTTCTGCTTCCCCTGCCATAAGCCAACTGATAGATATTAATCTGACTTCTTTCTCTTGGAAGCTATATAGGTGTTTGGTGGCTAGGGCTTGGGCTAGAGGGGCATAGGAAAGTTATCTAGGCCTGCTGTTATAAGGTATGCGACTAAGTGGGCCGTGTACCCTTTTGCTCACACATGGTAGCCAGTGAGCTAGAAACACAAGGAGTTATGGGTAAGGGTTGAGGTGTAAATGGCTTGGAATTGCAGGCTTGGACTTTGCCTCTATGTATTTATCTGGAAAATGAAGAGGGCTTCACTGTTCCTAGCCATATTGAATTAGAAGTCATCGAGGAAGAAGTCTTAACCTTCTTAGTAGTAACAAGGCTATATGGCAACTGAGTTTGTGTTTACTTTGGTCTCGTGTCCAGGAAAGAGACAGTAGCCATATCTTATCTGATCTAAGTTAGGAGAGCATTTCAAAATACCCACGAGTGGCTCAGTGTTTATGTCTACCAGTTGCGCTGTAATAAATACTACCAACTTACGTAAATTCATCTCTTTCATGTTGTTGTCACTCACTCCTAGTCTTAGAGGAAAGTCTCCTCTACAGGCCAGACTTAATGTGCTTACTGCATGCCCTAAGTTTGAAAGTGAGAGAAATAAATCTCTTTCTGGTATTTTTAGTTATCTATTGTAGTCTGTAGTTTGAACTTTGGTCTTTATCCCAGGAGACAAAAGCCCGGAGAGAAAAGATTTGATGACCCTCAATATTGTTGTTTTATTTTTAGAGTTCTTAATATGAGCTATTGTTTTTCCCTCTGAATTCATTGGGGAAAAACAACAGCTTGAGATAGTAGAATTTAAAAGGTCTTCTTTCTCTTCCTGCAGTCTCTACTGATCTCATCTCTATTCTCCCTTCTGGGTTTAGTGGCTCAATTTGAATAAAATGGAGAAAGCACCCTTTTCCCCAAGGAGTAAGATGAAGGTTAATAACTTGGGGTTTAGCAAATGGGCAGGTGCTCTGCTTCTGTCTCCTGAAATTGTCTTGAAGCTACCACTCTGGCTGACTTAGAGCAGGGCTACTGACTGGTGGGAATACTCAACCGTGTCCTCTTGCCTCTTCACAGCTGCTGAGGACTTGTACAAGGACTTTCTGACCTTGGAGCACCTCATCTGCTACAGTTTCCAAGTGGCTAAGGGCATGGAGTTCTTGGCATCGAGGAAGGTATGACAGGTCAAGGGGGAGGAAGCTTTCTCTTCAGATCACAGGCTTAGAAATGAGACATCCGCTTGTTCTGTTTGGAAAGTCATGCACCACTTTTAGGATTCTTAAGTGTGTTCCCCCGGGGAGGCTGTGCTTCTGCTAATAAAAGGTGGCTAGAGGTTTCATGAAGTTAATTCATTTGACTAATACTCATTGACCAACTACTAAGTGCTAGATTTTTTTTTGTTTTTTAATTCTTTTCTTTTCTTTCCTTCTCTTCAAGACAGGGTTTCTCTGTATATTCCTGGCTGTCCTGAAACTCACTCTATAGACCAGGCTGGCTTTGAACTCACAGAGATCTGCCTGCCTCTGCCTCCCAAGTGCTGGGATTAAAGGCATGCCACCACAGCCCAGCTGACTAGGTAGACTTCTAAGTGCCATCGTGGTGAACCAACCAGGACAGCTCTGCAGCTTTCTGGTGCTTACAACGCTGGTGACGATAAAACAACCAATAAACAAATAACATATAAGGAAGGTTAAGTAGGAATAGATGTTGTGGGATAAAGTAAAGCAGGAAAGACTTTCAGAATGAACGGAAATGCTGTGTTTGTATGTGCACATGCTTACATGTGTATATTACAATGTTATACAAGCTAAATGAGGAAGCTTTTACTAAGGATATGGCATTTGAGCCTCAAAGAGGTGAGGAGTGGAGTCTTGTAGATATCTTGGTGTAGTGGGGTCTATTTTTAATTTATTTTACATTCATCACCATCCATCAAAATGTTATTTGTTATTTGTGTAATTAGAAGCCAGGAAGGCCAGGCTTCAGATGGGGACGATTAAAACAGCTAAAATTAGAAAGTAGGCCAAACAAAGGCTGAGGTGGGACGTGACAAGTGACAAATATCCCAAAGGTTGTAAACACCACTTGGTGACCTTGGGAAGGGGGAGATGTGTAGTCTCATATTCGGTAAGAAAGGTTCACATTATATTCAGGAAAAGCTCTCAGTGGGCGAAGTATATTTGCTTCAGGTCCCTAGGGGAACAAAAGGTTTTAATATTTCTTTTGTTTTCCTTATCATTGTAAGGTCCCTTAGCCCTCTCTCCACTGAAGTTTAAAGTTTCTTAACAGCTTCCAGAACCATGGGATATTAGATAATTCTTCTGAATATTTCTCATACTCTTATTTCCCAAAGAGAAGGGGATAACCAAGGTCCTACAGCATCATCTCAAAGAGAAGGGCTTTGAGTTCTTTTTAAGGGTTGCTATTTTTGTAAAGGCCAGAGCTTGTTCTTGGACCAAGTAATTTTGGCAACTATAAGGGAGAATTAATATAGTGACTGGAGAGTGGTCAGCTAGAATCCTTTCTTTTTCTCCTGTAATCACCAGGTGGTTTTGTTGTGAATATATACATTTTATAAATATATATATTTATGAAATCTCCAGCTGAAAAAGGAAGCTCTTTGCTTGAGTAGTAGGGGTGCTGTCTCCTTTGTGGCTTTTACAGTTTTGTTGACTCACGCTAGGCAACTTGACCCTGAATATTTTGGTGCAGGGGAGAATGCCGTAGGTGCTGACTAGGGTAGAGGCAGTGATTCCCAGCTCCCATGGTCACTCCTGTGCTGATCCGGGGCTCTCATGGGAGCCTTTCATTCTTGTCTAAAGTTATTTGAGGCTCTTAGTCCCTCTCCGGCAGTGCTTAGGCACTTGGCTGATCACAGGGTGACATAGCCGCTTCATAGCTGAATGTCAGGTCAAGTTAGAGGACAGGAACTGAAGATCCCAAGGCTTAAAGCTGGGCTCTGGGGCACTTTCCAGTGCCCTACAGAATCTAGTCCTCTCGTGATGTGATGGCTAGCCTTGCCTGGACTGACCTTTACTGTAATATCAAATACTTTGAAGTAGGATGAGTACCACTGTGTACAGCCTCCAGATCCAGCCCAGCTTCAGTGACAAACAAAGTAGATAGCCCACCAAGTACACCCAACCAATGAGAAGAACCCTTGCTTCTGTTTTCTACACATCCATTCCAAACAAATCTATTCTGGGATCTCCTTAGAATAACCCAGTTTAAGCCTCAGGGGGTGCCAAGCCAAAGGATTTGTGGGTGTGATCAGAGGCACGTTTTTTAAACTCCGTCCATCATCAGACTGTAACTTAATCATCTAAACTCCAAAGGACAGGACTGTTTATGGAATAAGCAGATGTGTCTCAATGAAACACACAGGTCCTTTTCCTGACCTGTTGGTATAAAACACCCCAGTCCTTGTTAATCGGTTGGTTCTCTGATGTTGAATTTTTTTTAAACATGAGGTCACCACAGATGAAAAAGAGATTAGCTGTGTGGAGACTTATCACACACACTGTTCTTTCCACAGTGTATCCATAGGGACCTGGCAGCACGGAATATTCTCCTATCAGAGAAGAATGTGGTGAAGATCTGTGACTTCGGCTTGGCCCGGGATATTTATAAAGACCCGGATTATGTCAGAAAAGGGGATGTAAGTATCCATAGATGAGCTTCATGGTCTATTCAGGTGAAGAATTCAGACTTTGCAGATCTGTGTTTAGAAGCGAGGGAAGCATTTTTTTTCTTCAGAAAGCTGTCAATTTGGGTTCTGATGCCTTGCTATCTATCATCCACTTAGGCCCGACTTCCTTTGAAATGGATGGCCCCAGAAACAATTTTTGACAGAGTATACACAATTCAGAGCGACGTGTGGTCTTTTGGCGTTTTGCTCTGGGAAATATTTTCCTTAGGTAAGTCACTTCTCTTTGACCCTCTCCTGGGTGGGGGTTCAGGATTGAAGATGCTAATAGTTGACAAGCCCTGTAAGTCCTTTCCTCCCCTGTATTTTGCCTTCCATCAAGTAGAATTTCTTAGATTCATATGGTAAAAATCCAAAAGAAGAAAAGCTCTGTAGAATACAAGGATGTACAAGAATCAGGCTTAAGGGTTTTTTATGACGAATTCAAAGCTCACAGTGCTCCTTGCTGCCTTATTCTAGGTGCTTCCCCATATCCTGGGGTCAAGATTGATGAAGACTTTTGTAGGAGACTGAAAGAAGGAACTAGAATGAGGGCCCCTGACTACACCACCCCAGAAATGTAAGACTCTGAAAAACATGCTGCTTTGTTTTCTCACAAATTCTTCCCGCTAAGAAGGCCAGAGGGCCTTCCATTGTGAGCATCTGCGTCATGGCCTAGTTTGTGCTCGGCTCTTTTCTTCGATGCCTTCCTTGGTTACCTCAAGTACCGTCATCACATTACCGTATTATCTACACCAGAAAGCTTTTATTAATGGTGTGATAAAGAAGACTAGTTTACAGATAGTTGGATGTCCTACAGTTTTCTATCTCTAGTTAGCATTTCAGCTCTTGCTAGGCTCTTTACAAATGCTTCCCACTGGAGTATTACTTTGACCATTCGCTCTTAGAAGAATGGCATGTTTAATAAAGCCATTGTCTTGCTTGTCCAGGTACCAAACCATGCTGGACTGCTGGCATGAGGACCCCAATCAGAGACCCTCGTTTTCAGAGCTGGTGGAACATTTGGGAAATCTCCTGCAAGCGAATGCTCAGCAGGTTGGTAACCCTCTACAAAGAGCTCTCAGGTGGAGGATCTGTGGTATAATACTCTATTGCCTGAACATTCACAAGGCACCATGCTATCCTCTTTGTCACTGACAAGGGAGCCTCTGTCTTTCAGTTCTGGGCAGGAATGCTTCCTAAAAGCCACCATTGCTCTTTTGACTGATAGGATCCTAATTCATAGTTTGGGAATAGACAAGTCTAGTCTGTTTGTAAGTTGCAGGAACCTGTTCTCTCTACCTTGCATGTCCAGGGGATCGAACGCAAGTTACAAGGCTTGCTTGATGATGCCTTTACCCACTGAGTCATCTTGTAGTTCCTCACACACTTGTTTCTGTGTTTTGTCTTCAAATGTTCTTCTAAAGTTTAAAAAAATCTTCTGAGTGTGACGGTATAAATCTGTAATCCCAGAATTCTTAAGGCTGAGGCAAGAAAATCACAAGTCTGAGGTCAGCCTTGGCAGCAAAGCAAGGCTACCTCAAAAATTAAAAGAAGCAAACAAAACAAAACCACCACCAACAACAAAAACAAATCTGACTGACTTACTGATTATCAGAAATGGATGGAATTTCAAGTAATTTTTAGTCAATACTTCAGGCGAGGCCAAAACAAAACAAACGTGCAAATTATGCAAAACTGTGACTTTGGCCCCTCTTGGTAAAATGTCAAGCTGTCGGGACAGTTCCACAGTGGAATTGTGTCCCTCTTTTTGTTGTTGTTAGAGAGATTTTTTTGGTGCTCACTGTCCCTTATCCCAGTGGGGCCACTTGCTTTCTTCTTCCTTCTGAACACTTGCGGGTGCCGTCTATTTTCACCAACAAACCTTGCAAGCATTTAAGTGTATTGGATCATCTTGTCGTTTCTTTCTCTTCAGACTGCATTACCCAGAATCCCTGCGCTCCTGCTGTTTATTGCTTTTCTCCTCACTGCCTTCTGATTTTTCCACTGCTTTGGAATGTGGAGGCTTGACTGGAGGCAGTCTGCTTTGAAAGTCCGGCTCCTGTGGAGGTCTTTGTGGAGAATTGATTCCTGGGCTCTGGGCTCTCACATTCGTCCACAGCATTGCCTGCTTGGCCTTCATGGCAACCGTGGCCTCTTGTCCCTTCACTAATCCGGTTTTTACTTAGTCCCTTTATTAGCCTTCTTCCACACATCCCTTTCAAGTGCCTTTTTGTTTCGTTCAACCCTTTTCCAACGCACTCTTGAAGTCTTGTGCTCAGATATGAAAGTGGCGCACACAGCCAAGACGCCCCCCTGCCCTTTGTTTCTCATGAAAAGGCCCTTGAAGGATAGCAGCCATAACAATAGCATGCTGTGTTTATTGTTTCAGGACGGCAAAGACTACATTGTTCTTCCAATGGCAGAGACATTGAGCATGGAAGAGGATTCTGGACTCTCCCTGCCCACCTCACCTGTTTCCTGTATGGAGGAAGAGGAAGTGTGTGACCCCAAATTCCATTATGACAACACAGCAGGAATCAGGTATATGGCCTGCATCTCCTAGTGGGACTTCAAGGCTGCCTCAGGGGGTGGGGGTGGGAGGAAGACATTTGGTTAGGCTGCACTTGCTACTTCTAGCTAACCAGGGCAATGCTACCCAAAGAGGGTCTGGAGGGTTGATCCACCTCCCATCTGTGTCCCATATTGCTGGCACAGCTCTGCCTTTAAGAATCCTAAGCCTTGTGGGAGCAAATAACTAAAATGCCACAGTTTGTTAATCTTCAGAGAAAAAAGAGAGCCATGGTACAGAGACATCTGTATTAAAATCGTCCCCGTGTACCCTTTCATTAAGGTGAATTAAATGGCTTAGGAAAGACTCAGGAAGGAAGAATTCTGTGCAAATAGGAAACACACTGAGGGCTCTCTGGTGAGGACACAGCATGCTACAGGCTGTGTCCTGAATGGGGCTGTACACTACAGAAGTTTGTCCCCTGTCTGGGTTTCAGCATTGTATTTACCTAACGGGGCGCCTGGGTTTACTTAGAACAAATGCTATGCAGTCCAGGCTTGGTCTGTGCAGGGTTCTGCAGCCTAATACCTGGGCCTGAGGAAAATGCTCATGGGGTTTCCACAATACGATGATGTTAGCGTTGGTTTTCTTAAGACCAAGACAACTTCACTTTACTTTGAGTATTGCCCTTCTGCAAGCAGACCCCCTGACAGCACTGGTGCAGCGTGCCTTCCTGAGTGTTGCCCAAGCTGCAGGAGGAATGGGCAGCTGTCTCCTGTGGGAGGCAGTGGCCTGGTTGTCATGCTGCAAGGAGGCTAAGGAGGCGCAAGAGAGAGAGAGAGAGAGAGAGAGAGAGAGAGAGAGAGAGAGAGAGAGAGAGAGAGAGAGAGAGAGACTGAGAGACTTGATTAGATATCAACCAGCAAGCTACCATTCCTCTTATAACAAGAGCAGTGAGGATTTCCTGAAGAATTTTTCTGTATATTATCAGATTTCTGTCATGAGAGAACTCTAGATTTAGGCAAGAAGGAAACTATCATCTAGGTTGGATGCTGACCACAGGTCTTAGCTCTACCACCTGAGGCAGGGCAAAATATTGTGATTAAAGATGTAGATATGAAAGCTTGGTAAAACCAGATATGATGCCTGCGTCTGCTTTTTAGCAGCTGTGTAGCATATTTACCCCCTCCTCCAACCTAGTTTATTTGTGAAGGAAGGCATGGTCACGGTTTGTGAATGGCCGATTGGAGGATTGCAAGCTATGATGTATTTCTAAGTGCCTGGCACTTGAAGGCACTTCATAAAGGACAGCGGTTAAGAGAGCTGCTTCCTGTCCTGCCTTGGAGATGAATCCACCTCATCTGATTCCAGACTTAGGGCCATTTTGTCTCCTTCCAAGGAGAGGTTCTCAGAGATGAAGAATCCTGAAGTGAAGCCCCCATATTCCCATGTATGCAACGTCCTAGTCCATTTTAGCTTGGCCATTGTTGCCACTATGCTGTGTTGCCTTCTTCTTAGTCAGAGAGTCATTTGATGGCTCACTGTCCTCCTCGTGTCCTGTGGCAGAGGAGAGTTCAGGACTGGACCATTTGACTTGCTAGGTTCTTGGAATGTGATAAACAGGAGATGAAATCCTGTTTGGGTGAAAGGAGTACCAGTGTGAGGCTGGGTCTAAGAAAAGTGCTTGCTAACTCTTATCCCCAGGAGTGTGGGCCAGTGTGACACGATGCTTTTAGCCCAGCCAGGCTTGGCTCAGATGTTCTGCCTCTGAGTTTTGAAGGAGTCTTCCCAGACTAGGCTCTCTTTCAGCTACCCATATACAGAAAAATTAAACAGAAATTGGGAGCTTTTGTTTGCATCGCCTCTCAACTCCCCTATTTTTCCTTTTCTGAACAACAAAGTCCTCCATCACCTTGCTGTGATCTGAGCAAAGGCGATGGAGGTAGGGGTGTGAGTGCTCACACACGCGGTAGCGGCAGTGAAGGACTCGCGTGTTGCTCAGCTTCTCTGGGGAAAGCACCCCGAGGCTGGGGCACCTCCAGGGCCTGTGCTGTCTATTTCCATGCTTCCAGACAAGCAGAAAAGCCGAGTCTTTCTGGCTTTGTTTCTCCCTTATGCTCTTCAACTCTATATTATAAATAGAGCTGGCCAGGGATATCGCTGTGAGAGACAGCCTCTTGATTTGTTGCCCCTTAAAACTATTTTTAAAATATTTGTTCAACAGTAATGTGGAGAAGGGGCAGAGAAGTGTGGGCGGGGTGGGCCACTTACGACTAGACTTAGCTTTGTCTTCAGTTTTCCCCATGGATCCTCTCTGGCCTCGAGTGTGCATACTTCCCACAAGAAAACCCATATTCCCTGGGCTCGTCTCTCTTGGAGGGCCGTGTGGGCACCAACTGTGGTTGCTTTGTCATTTTCTCTGGGAGTTTCACCTCCCATTCCAAGCAGTTTAACAGAGATTACTTTGCAGCTCTCTCCCAGAGCGAGGCTTCAGGACACACTGTTTTCTTCACTCTGATTAATTGCTAGTGGTAATTGAATACCCATGGTGGATTGATGTCCAGGAGAGCCTGCTGGCTGTCTAACCTTTCCTTGATTTGGCCTTCACGTTAGACGACTTGAAATGGGACTATTCTTTTTCTTCCTTTCATCTACTCAGCATTCCATACTGACTCCACCCAAGGTCAGTGCACAGGTGGGGACCAGGACAGTGATGTGAACACAGTAGGCGTTTAATGAAGATTTGAGCACCACGTCTTTGACTCTCTTCTTTCTTGTCCATCCTGATACTCCAAGGGAGTCGTTCGGAATAGAGTGAGGGAAAGCAACCCCATGTGGGTTTCAGAGCCTGCAAACTGAGTGTGAGTCCTGGTTCCAGCCTTCATCTGCCATTTTCTCATCGAGCCTTGGCTTCTTCATCTCCAGGAAGGAGATAATGGGAGATCTGTGTGGGAGACTGTGGGGGGCAGATGCAAGGAGATCTTGGGAAATACTTTGTCATTTGTAGGACCATACTGTTTTTTAAATCACTGGGCTCAGAATTCAAGGGTCTGAGTCTTCTAAGGAAGATACATGCTATCCACACCTTGTCACTCTGCTGGGTTCCCCCCTCAGATATCTATGGAATTCAGGCACTGCTTCAAACCTCATTTGCATCCCCTTTCTTTAATCAGATTCCCTGCTTTCCTGCTAGATAAGCATGAAGTCTTCTAACTGGCTTTCCTGCCTCTGGTCGTATCCTTCTCAATCGCAGCCAACTTTCCAAAAAACCATATGCAATCATGCCACTCCCATGCTTGAAAATTTTCAGTAGCCCTCACAACTGTAGTCTAAGATTCTAGTTGTGTGGTGTTGGACCAGTGGATTTTGGAGGGGTAACCATGAAGACACCATGAGGTGATGTCTGAAGAGTATTCAGCTCAATGCCTGACCTGGGGTAGATCCCCAAAGGTCTTCCTGACTGAGGGAATAGTCATGGTCCCAGCCGTCTTTGACCGTCACTACTTTCAAGGACCGGAGTCAGTAGGAAATGGGCTTTGCTTGTTCCCTAGATTGCCTGTCCTCTTTCCTGTGGAGTCCCCTGAGGGAGGGTGTCACTGGGAACCTCATTCTCCCCTCTGTGGCGGGAGGAAACGACCTCTTGGGGGAGAGAAGAGGCACTCAGCTCCCAGTCTTCAACTCTGACCCATCAGTGCACTGTGCCAGCAGGCTGCTTGTCAAGGGACAAGAGTGAAGAATGTTTATTGTCTCCGTGAACCTTTCCTGTAAAAAAGACTTCTCTTGCCCCCCATTTGGGCTGTAAGAGGTTTGGATAGGATTTTTTTGACTCCCAATGTCAAGTGGCAAGGAAGAGCAACCTCCAGGGAGAAGTGATGTGTCGTCTTTCGAGTCTCTTTCTTTGAAGGTGTTTGGAATTCAAAAGAGGAAAACAAATGCTGGCTGATGGAGTTTTGTGCTTCCTTGGAACAGCAAACTGGACATTTGCCATGCCATTCACCTTTCCAATCACCTTGTGAGTTGGAAAGAATGGCTATTACCTATATGTGTTTAAAATGGAGCATCAGAGCCATGACTTTTATTTCTTTATTCAATGTTACACTCAGAACTAGACAGAGTGTCTTGAGACTGAAACATGGCTGAGTCAGACCCAGCCCACCTCTCTCTGTGCCCTAGATCTGTATTTCATGGAGAAGGAATAAGTTGACTTGAGATTACTGCCTAGCACAGTATCCTTTAGAGAGATAAAAGGTGTTTCCTCTGCCCAGACTGCCCTGTCAACACTGTGTAGAACAGCTTTCTTTGGAGATGGCTAGAAAAATGGAAAGGATGCAACAATACAGCCAGGGCTTACTAGAGGAATCCCATCGAGTCAGGGCCGTAAGTAGCTACGGTTGACTTAGCTGCCGTTGATCTTAGTTTAGCACTGGGCCTCAGGAGCATGATTCACAGTCACAGGGTCTCTCTTACTCTTCTCAGTTCTATTATACTTTTAAATGGACCTCAACAGGAAATTAAACCTTCCATGTGTGCTAGCAAAGAACGATTTTGTTTTTCTTCTTTCCAAAGGATGTTTTGAAGGTTGCTATTAAACTTGTGGTTGAACGAGAATGAACTTAGGTATCACTTGAGGCATCCAACAGCCAAATATACCACCACTCAAACACAAATAAATATTTGCTCTCTTGCAGTCAGTACCTTCAGAACAGCAAGCGAAAGAGCCGGCCAGTGAGTGTGAAAACATTTGAAGATATCCCACTGGAAGAACCACAAGTAAAAGTAATTCCAGATGTAAGTACATCTTTTATAAATAGTCGTAGAAATAATACTCAGGGTGAAATACTAGCTAGATAAATATTAGCCTAAGTGTTTGAGCCTTGGAAACCCATTAAGGCTTTTCTTGAGGGTATGTGCCATGGGGTCATTATGGAGATGGATCTTTGGTTTTGCCACAGGAAAGCACCTGGACCAAGGTTCAAGATAGTCCAAGTGTATGCTCAACTTCACTCAATTGCACACGGTGTCACTGTGCAGAGAGAAGGAGACCCCAGCATCCTTGGTTGCTGCACATCTCTCGTCTTTTCTTGGCCTAAATCCACTTCCTGGAAGCAGTTGTTTCCTTTGTGGCTTGCACAGTCTCTGGCTGCCATACCCTAACCCTCCTTGGCAAGGCATTGAATCATATTGTCTGCTAGATGGATTGAAAAATGAGTTTAAAGGAGCTGGTCCTGTGTATAATCACTGTGTCATCTCATTGTCTCCTAAAAAGGACAGCCAGACGGACAGTGGGATGGTCCTTGCATCCGAAGAGCTGAAAACCCTGGAAGACAGGAATAAATTATCTCCATCTTTTGGGTAAGACTCAGCCAAGTACAAAGGACCCTTTCAATAGGAATTTCTGAAAGGACATAATAAAGACATTCAGTGTATATGATGTTTCCCTTTATGTGTCTTTGGAGGCTGATGGCATTAATACCCCAAATTAGCATAAAGGACTGAAATATGCCAAACAATGAAATTGATAGATCTGAAAAATATCTGAAGTGAGTTAGAGGGTTTGGTCAATTTCTAGTGACCAAATTTATGAAGGTGCTAGAGCTTCTGGGCACATTGATATGGGTGTGATGAGTAGTTTATGTGGCCCTGGCCAAGCATCAGCAGACACCACGATCCTGAAGAGTTAAGAAACTGCAATCTGAAGGATTGCTAACCCTGAACTTAGCTGGCTTTATCTGTAATCAAGAAAGATGATATGTAAGTAGATGCATAGTCACTTATTTAATATTCTTAAATATTATTGTTTGAATCATTGCCTTTTCAGTTGTGGGAAAAGTGTTAAATTTGATCTTGAGTCATTCATCTCTCTATGGTTCAACAGGAATGTGTAGTTGCTTTGAATAAGAGTACCTGATTTAAACATATGAATTTATGAGAGTCTATAGTTAAGAGAATAATAAAATAAAGCAGTTATTTATGTGCTGATAGGTTGTTTATTCTAGGTAGGAATACAAAAGATTTGATCTACATATAATGGCATTGCTGCATGAGATGGGAATCCCCGTGGGTTTTTTGAGCAATGCCTTTACAATAGTAACAATGGTAACAGTAAATTTTGCTGTTTCTTTTAAGGCCCAGTGAGAAATCATGAGCGTCAATCATACGCTTCTTTCATTGATTCCAACCATACTTACCCAGAACTACTAAGTGGCCAACTTCATGCCATTGTTTGAGACACGAATTGGCTTTGGTGTGGGGAGGGAGGAGTGGATTGAAAGGGGAAAAATGTATTTCTAGTTCTTTGAACCTGCTTTAAACCCTATCTTAACACAGAATAAATAAACTCTTTTTTGTGTGGTTTTTATTATGAATAATGAGGCTAAGGCCCTGAAAGGGCAAACCCTGAACTTTTCGGTCCACACAGCCTACATTTGTTAGTTTTGACATGATTACTATGTCATTGAAATATTCTCTAGTTGCTGCTGAGTGATTGAATCCCCAACTTGTCCAAAGAATGTGGTTTTGATGAGTAAAAAGCAGTTTTTGACATGTCTGGCTTGACTGCACACACTCTTCCAGGCTTTTTTTTTCTCTACAAATTAATTAAATCTTTCATAATTCATGTAGTCTTCAAAATGAGCGAACAGGAAAAACACAAATGAACTTTCAGACCATCCCAGTTTCCTTTAATATCATGACAGAGACCCTTTGGCTCCAATCACTGTATACAAACTTGTCAATCATCAAGGCCGTAAAACTGTTCCATTGGTTGGAGGCTCTGCATACCTCAGCAGAACCTCCTTTTATCTCATCTCAGGCTTGAAAGACTTGGACCTGCATAAGAGGACTTATCTGCAACTACTAACTCATGCTAGTACCTGAAAGTAGACCTTGTCTGAGTAAACCTGATAGGGAGAGATAGGGGCTGATGTTTCTGGAGAAGATTCCACCTCCTTGGAGCTGGGGACTGTGTGAGTGTGAAAAGCTAAGGGGCCATCTTCTCCCTTTCAACTCATCTGGTTGCCATTTCTTCCACAGTGGGATGATGCCCAGCAAAAGCAGGGAGTCTGTGGCCTCGGAAGGCTCCAACCAGACCAGCGGCTATCAGTCTGGGTACCACTCAGATGACACAGACACCACTGTGTACTCCAGCGAGGAGGCAGAACTTTTAAAGCTGATGGAAGCTGCAGTGCGCCCTGACTCTGGGACCACATTGTGCTCACCTCCTGTGTAAAAGGAGGTGCTCCCACCCTACCCCCAAGTCCTGGAAATCATGTGAGAGGTGCTGCTTAGATTCTCAAGTGTTGTTCTTTCCACTACCCGGAAGTAGCCACATTTGATTTTCATTTCAGAAGGACCTCAGACTGCAAGGAGCTAGTCCTCAGGGCATCTCCAGAGAAGATGACCCGTGACCCAAGAATGTGTTGACTGTACTCTCTTTCCCTTTCATTTTAAAATTATGTATACTCTGCCCTGCTGTGTGTCTCACTGCCAGTTAAAACAAAAGACATTCAAACAGTGGCTCTGTCCTCCAAGAAGTAGCCATACCAGGACGAAGGATACCTCTGTGAAGCTGGGTGACAATGGGCAGTGTTAATGCTTTGTGTGTTGAAGATGGGTGAGATGTCTAATGGCTGAGTCTACCTAAAAGGCATTGTTGAGGATGTGGGCTATGAGCCAAGTGTTAAGTGCGGGATGTGGACTGTTAGGAAGGAAGGCGCAAGCTCTCTTGGAGAGCGGCTGGAGCCTGCAGATGCATTGTGCTGGCTCTGGTGGAGGTGGCCATGTGGCCTGTCAGGAAATGCAAAGGCAGCCGGCAAGGTTTCTGGTTTTAGAAGGTTGCGTGCTCTTTGCAGTTGGGCTATAGGCGAGTTCCCTGGGCTGTTTCCTACTCCTAATGAGAGTTCCTTCCGCACTCTTACGTGTCTGCTGGCCTAACTCCAGGAAGGAAATGATGCAGCTTGCTCCTCATCTCCCAGGCCGCGCCTTAATTCGGAACACCAAAAGAGGCTCCCTTTCATCTTGAAGTGCACAGTGCAACTCAGGGTTTCTGCTGGATGGATACCCACATGTCTGCCCTGGTGGCAGTGTCTGAGGCCAAGCGCAGTGGGTTCTGTGTCAAGTTGTGGTGGCAAAAGCTCAGACAGGATGTATCCATTTGTTGTCCCTGCAACCCCACCCCACTGTCACCCCCCAGTCCTCAGTACTTTAGCTTTGTGGCCTGTTTATGGCGGAAACTCTGAATCGGTTTGCTCACTCTCCAGATAAATACTCATTAGCCAGATTTCAAAATTGCCTTATAGCCAAGGCTATAATAGCATCTACTGTATCACTTAGAATCTTAACATATAAAGCTATGTCTACTGGTTTTTGCCCTTGTGCTTATGTTTTCCAACAAGAAACTGTTACTTTTCATTTGGTACCATAGTATGAGAAGCTGGGAACAATGACTATAAAACATGCTATGGCACATATATTTATAGTCTGTTATGTAGAACAAATGTAATATATTAAAACTGTATATTATATGTAATGAACTTTGTACCATTCACATTTTGTATCAGTATTATGTAGCATGACAAAGGTTATAATGCTCTCAGCAGCTGATGTTGTTTTATTAAAAACATTGAGGAACTCAACGGAATCCTTTCCCAGGAGATGCGCAGCTATACCTATCGTTTTTCTCATCTCAAACAGAGGAGGAGGAACCAGATACAGTGTGAGTGTGGTGGAATCTTCCTTGTTCTCTATTCTTACAAAGAGTATTTTCATCAAATGTTTATAATGCTTTGTAAACCAATAAATGTATTCCGAGTAAAAAGACACGGTGGTATCGTGTTATCACAGCTGTTCCGTGGCCTCTTCCCACTTGGTGTTCATTACAATCACGATTCATACAGAAACACAGCCTTGCCACATCCCGAGCACTGCTGACACTGTTAGCACATGGACTGAGACAAGTAGTTCCATGGTCTCCCCTTGAACCTCAGAAGTCAGGGATGGGAGATGGTGAGGCAGAGCTGAAGGCAGGAAGCGGCTGCTCCACCCGGCTCCACTGTCTAGCTGAGGTGCAGTGGACAGGGTGAGCCACTGTTAACACTTTTTAATGACTACTTTTACCCGAATTCAGAGAGCAAACAAATCCCCAGTGCCAGTACATATCTCCACCTTCAGCAACGCTGGATGCTGCTCTTTGCTTGTGTTTTGAGAAGACAGGGTCTTTAGCCCAAGCTATCGCCCGACTTATGCAGCCAAGGATGGTTTAGAACTTATGATTCTACTCCCTCCACCCCCACAATGCTGGGATTCCAGGCATGCACCACCATACCTGGATTCAATCAATGCGTTTTTGTAAATATAAGATTTTAAAATATTTACTTAATCAAACATGGCCATGTTTTTAAATGGCTTATAAGATTTTCTGTTTGGTTTATCTTAAGCACTCTTTCTCAAATCTAAAATAACACCAAAATTTTTGTTTTTTTCCTCTTTGATTACATTTTCATTTACTTTCTTTTCATACATGACTGAAGTTCATACAAGGTCTAAGTTTGGGTGATATTTGGCAAGCAGATTGTCAAACATGGCAATTCCATTGTGAGCTATCACTCTTCCTCCCTGAAGCTGGAGAGCTATCTTGATTGCATTACTTTTCAGCTCCTACCATCTTACCGAGATCTTCTCCCCAGCTTTATGATGAAGAAAGTAGCTGTGCATGTGTGTGTTCCTAACAGCCAGCAACATGGACTGGGATCCATGAACTGGGACCATGCAGGGAGTTCCTCTCCCTTCCCATACTCTGGTCTCTTTCAGCAAATGAATGGAATGAGAGCCTAGGCTAGTCAGGACAGAAAGACCAGAGAAAAACAGAGCCTTCTTCACTTTAGGGGGTAAAGGGGTTTCCCTTCTCCCAGGTGGCTCCTGGCATGTTTCTGATGTCAGGAGTCTGGATTCAAGTGAAACTCTGCACTCGGTGAAGAGTGCTTTTCTCTGTGAAGGATGATCAGAGGCAAGGAGTGGCCTCTGCCTCCCCGCTAGCTGTCTGTCTTCCATATGTCCTTGCTTAGCTGCTCTCTCTCTCCTCTCCTGCCCCTGCATTGAAGAAGTAGCAGTAGCATTTTAGAGTGCTTCTTGCTTGGTCTTAGGTTCCACGTCTTAATTGGAGGCACCTGATATGTTGAAGTGAGGCTTTGCCCGTACCCCCGGGGGCTTGTGCCCTCCTTCCTTCACGTCCTCCCAATGTCCTCTGCTGCTCGACTTCCGTTCCTCTGCCCGCCAGTCCCCTTCTAGTCCGCATTCCACCTGTACTGCTCCACAGCATCACAGAGAGCTGTGGGGAGGTTCAGGCTTCCAGTTCCTGGCCAGGCTTCCCAGCAATGCACACTCTTTTGTCCTTTGCTATGAAAAGAGAGGAGAAAAGGAAAAGCCACAGCCTACTGCCTCTAAGGAGTTAACTTAACCCAACTTTCCCATCTCTCTTAGCATCTTCCTTTCTACCTCTGAGTCGGACATGTATCCTCTGGTAGCAAACTGTCTGCAAACCTAGAAAATCTTTGGGGAAAAGGCACTTTTCCTCCACAGCTGTCTGCATTGCAGGAGTAATGGCCACGTCCACATTCTTGGATAGACAGTGAGCTCAGCTCAAAAGGGGTTAGATTCCACTTTTGTAGAACCATGCTTGGAGACCGGCTGAGAGTGCTTGCTGATCCTTCAAAGGACTCAGTGTCTGATAGCACAGCACCCATGGCCGATAACTTCAGATCCTAGATAGAGACGTGATGTCTTCTGACCTCTGAGGACACCTGAACACATAGCACACACACACACACACACACACACACACACACACACACGCACACACGCACACACGCACACACGCATGCACGCACACGCGCACGGACAAAACAAACCACTGCACTTTTAAATGAATCTCTTCCATAAAGGAGGTAGACATAAGCAAAATTTTGACGATTTTTTTTTTGAGACTTGAAGCCCTTTTCTGGGAAAAGCTGGAGAATCTTCCTACATGATAAAGAAATTAGCAAGGTGAAATCAAATTGTTTATTTTTGAAAGTGGTGGAATCTGGGAGGAGCAGTGAGAGTTCTTTCCCATTCGGGTTGACCCGATGTTCTGATGTTCTGGAGCTGAGGTGGTAGACACACAATTACCAACCCAGGAGAAGCTTGACTCCGAGATAAGGACATGGGGTTAGGAGAAAGTGTTCACGCCAGAACTACTGATAACACAAAGGTTGCAGTAAACTGTCTAAGGACATCAAGTAAATGTCCTTAGAAGACATGGAGTTATACCTGAGATTCTTCTCTCTAGCATGGAACTGCCAACTTCTCGGTACCTCAAAAACATCAACCTTAGCAGTTTCACTTCTTTTAAGTTTAAAAATAAAGGAATAGAGAGATAAAATGCATCATAATGTTTTCTTCCAACTTCTTTTTTTTTAATAAAAATACTTTATAACATCGGGTGTGTTAACTCGGTGGTGAAAATGTCACACATTATTTCTGTGATTTCTCAAATTCTAGAGCCCTCGCCAAGGAGAAAGGGTAGAGAAGAAAACTGGCCTCGTCTCTAGTTTTGCTCCACCTTTTTATAGTAGATGGTATGTTACAGGACCTCCCATCTATTTTCTGTTGCTAGCGCTAAACACCACAGACATGGTTTACAAGAGGCATTTGCTTTGTTCATGATGCAGGGCTGGAAAGCCTAATACCAAAGTGTGGCCCTCTGGTGATGGCCTTGTTGCTGCATGGTAAGGTAATGGAGGTGTATCACAGGCAAGGAAGAGCAAATATCCTAGCCCACACATTTCTTCCACCTCCCGCCAATCTGTCAGTGCCCAAATTTCATGATTTCACCTCATTCCAATTGCTTCAGAAGGTCTCACCTCCAATTATCATCACCATGTGACTTTGGGGATTAGATGTTATTTATTCATTGTTTTTAACGCATGAACCTTAAGAGAGCATATTAACCCTAGTAGGGGAATTAATCCAGGAAGGTGGGCAGGACTTTTCAGTTGAAGATATCCTTAGAGTGTTGAATCTGGGGCTGTGTGCAGCTCACAGATTACGAAGCACAGACTCACAATTCAGGAGTCCTCGGAGCTTCTAGGCCAGCAGAAGTGTAATAGGATCCTAGTGCTGAGAGTGGAGCTCTCTCTAAGCTAAAATATCTTATCCTGATAAAGGGGATTGAAGACATTCCACATTCCATGGAGGAAATATAACTGGGAATGAAAACCCAAGTACAAGACTAGATCAAAGGGAAGCTGAGACAAGGCTAGATTGAAGAGAAGCAGTAATAACCTACAATATTTCCCAGGGTACAGTATCAATAGTATCCTGTAGCATATATTGATGTAAAACAAGGATCCTCATCAAAATAAAAGAGGCTCCAAACTCAGTCCTTAATATTAAACTTAAAATGAGTAATCTTTTGTTGGTTTGTTTATATTCAACTCTATCTATACAATGCTTACAGTGTACCAGATAATCTTGACAAACATTTTCCCCCTTTTTATCATTTAAATTACAAACAAGCTTGCTTCACTTGTCAATCCCAGCTCCCTCTCCCTCCCCTTCTCCAACATTCCCAAGTACCCACCCAGTCCCCACTCCACTCCCCAGGGAGGGCTATGGGCTATATCCAAAGTCTGCCTAGGCCCTCCCCCATGTGTTCAGGCTAAGAGAGCATCCCTCCATGTGGATGGGCTCCCAAAGTCTATTTGTATGCCAGGAATAAATACTGATCAACTATCTGAGGCCCCATGGATTGTCAAGGACCCCTCACTGACACCCAAATTTAGGGGTCTGAATCAGTTCCATGTTGGCCTCTCAGCCATTAGTCTGGGTTCCATGAGCTCCCCCTTGTTCAGGTCAGCTGTTTCTGTGGGTTTCACCAGCTCGGTCTTGACCCCTTTGCTCATCACTCCTCCCTCTCTGCAACTGGGTTCCAGGAGTTCAGTTTAGTGTTTAGCTGTGGGTGTCTGCCTGTGCTTCCATCAGCCACTGGATGAAGGCTCTAGGATAGCATATAAGGTAGTCATCAATCTCATTATTGGGGGGAGGGCATTTAAGATAGCCTTTGCACTGTTGCTTAGATTGCCAGTTGGTGTCATCTTTGTAGATCTCTGGAAATATCACTAGTGCCAGATCTCTCCTCAAACCTATAATGGCTCCCTCTATTATGGTATCTCTCATTCTTCTCTCCTCTATTCTTCCCCGGACTCTACCTTCCTGCTCCCCCATGTCCTCCCCTCCCCCTTCTCTTCTCCCCATCTTTCTCCCAGCTCTCTCTCCCTTCCCCCATGCTCCTAATCCACTCAGGAGATCCTGTCCCATTCCCCTTCTCTGGGGTACCATGCATATCTCTCTTCGGGTCTGCCTGTTTCCCAGACTCTCTGGCAGTGGGATTGTAAGCTGGCACTCCCATGCTCCATGTCTAAAATCCATATGTGAGTGAGTAAATACTATGTTTGTCATTTTGTGACTGGGTTACCTCACTCAGTATGGTTTCTTCTATTGCCATCCATTTGCCTGCAAATTTCAAGATTCCATTGCTTTTTTTCCCCACTGATTAGTACTCCATTGTGTAAATGTACCATATTTTCTCTATCCACCCTTCATTTGAGGGGCATCTAGGTTGTTTCCATGTTCTGGCTATTACAAATAATGCTGCTATGAATACAGTGGAATAGATGTCCTTGTATGAATGCCCGTCTTTTGGGTATATGCCAGCATCCAGTGTGCCAACACACTTTGAAGATACTTTCTTTTTTCCATTGTATAATTTTAGCTTCTTTGTC